AACTGCGACATTGTAAATCTAACGTCAATGCACTGTAGATCCCATCTCGGACAAGAAGCTCAACATTGAGGGGTCTAGACAAAATGATATGGTATTGTAGACCCATATAAAGAACCCAACACCATGATGATGTTAGCCTATTGAGTCAGTTTCTTTCTTGCAATTTTATGTTTCGTAATCTCAAAAGATATTTGTGTGCATAAAAAGGGTGTGAACTTGTGAGAAAAGAAAAATCTTTATAATTTATCTTATTTTTCATAGTGATTTTTTTGACTTGGTTTGGCTCCATAGCTTTTTCCCATTATGGGGATTTTATTATGGGAATTTTCCAAGTTGAATTTGGTATTCTTTCTCCATTGTTTGCTTTCTTGTTTGTTTCATTCTTTATATACGCCCAACATTTTGATGGATTTCAATGCTCTTATTTATATTCAAATTTGTGTAATTCAAAATCAATAATCTTAACGTAAACCCATGAGATTTGAAGCCTATCTTGATGCATTATATATTGACATATTATTTTTGGCAAAATTTTTAAAAAAGACGAGTGATTTTCCTACAGTGTTAACTACCATCTTCTGACCATGATTACTCAAAAATCATTACCCAACCACCATATCATAACTTTATAACATACCATAACAAAATAGATTGATGCACATCATCACCATTAATGCTGATGCACACAATCATAGAAAAAGGCTGATACATGTTGTTGACACCAATGTCGATACCCACCAACTTTGTTGCTCGCCATCACCAACAACATCGACACTTGTCAACAAAGTTGATGTTTTTTATCATTACCAACCTTGATGCTAGTTGTCGCCAATAATAATGATGCATTATATCTATACTTACTGTTATAATCCTCAACATTAAAAAATTATTTTAAGTGTTATTATAAGTTCAAATTATAAATTATTTTTGTCATAATATAGATATTATTGTACTCTAATAATAATAATAATTTTTTAATTTTGGACTTTGTTGAAATTTTTTAAGAAATTGATACCTATCAGTACAAGTGAATTTTATTAAAATTTTTTAGACAGTTAGCTAATTTTTGAATCTTTTTTTTCATACTTTTTGAATATTTAGATTTGAAGATAAAAATATTTATTTAAATTTTATTCTAAAATTTAAATTATTAGAGTAATTACATTTATACCATTATATTAATTTGTTATAAAAAACTAATCCCAGTTACTTAACTTATTAACATTTTTTATTTTTACAAAACTAGAGAAGGAAAAGGGGAAATTAGAGAAAATGAGAGAAGGAAAAGTAAAGTTAGGGTTGATGATGATAGAGCGGCTTTTACCAGTCAGCTTGGTTGAAAATTTTGTTCATCACAAGATGTGTTATATTTTGCCTATTTTTATTATTAATAATTTAGTATTTTTTTTTTGGATTTTTTTCTATCAAAATTCTAATTGGTTTTATAAAAATACAATTTTATCAAATTCTGATAATTTTATCTGTGTAACTTTTGATATGTTATCGGAATGACTTTTATGGTTATTTTTTATTCATGATTGATGATTTCTTTTTCCTAGGGATTTTGAAAATACAGTAATTTTTATTAATTCAGAAATTTAATTTAACATCTGAAAATATTAATTTAATTCAATTAAAGTTTCAAAATGTTGTTATATATAATTTATGGTAATTCAATTAAATTTTATAATATTTTATCAAATTGTAATAATATATATTTTTCATACAATATTTGAGTTACTATTACAGCACAATATTTTGAGTTCTTTTAGTTTCATTGATTGACTTCTATTTTAGGTAGCGATAACATATTAAGTTGTGTTAGCTCACACTTATATTTCTTTCATTTTTCAGGCTAGGGAAAGAATAAGAGCAGAGTAGTTTTGATAGCAAATATCAATATGTGCAATAACTATGCCTTTTTGGTTAGTTTTATTTTTGCAGGCTTGACATTCATTTTGTTATGTTTGTCACTTGTCAAATATATATATCATTTTTGAGATTCAATTATCTTTTGCTTTATTTTATATTTACTAGTCACTACCGCAACTTATACGTCGGAAAAAAATTATCGACGCACCATAAACCGGCGGAGATATTTGCGCCGGAACATGCGCCGGAAACTACCGGTTCCGTCGGATTGTACATTGTTTCCGGCGGATTAAGTCCGCCGGTAATAACAGGTTTTCCTGTAGTGAGTGGTTATGCATGTATTATGCATAAATTTAAAGTTTAGTTTTTCTCAGCACTTCTCCAGCTAGATTTTGGGGTTAGTTTCTGATTATTAACATGATCAGATACAATATGGCATATGTGCTATCGGGACATATTGAATCAGATTGTGACACCAACAATGACACATGTCATCGCCAATAATGTCAATAAAGCAATGACATATAATAAGTTCACTACATGTTATCACCACCAATGCTAATGGCAAATGTTGACATACAAATTTATGTTATATTTCAAGGTATATATTCTCCCCTCTTTTCAACAGAACGGTAAAACCAACTGCCAACAATCTCTTGAATTAAACTTGAACGCTTCAAAGCTCCCCTGTAAACTATTTTCCACAGTTCATAAAATACTCTTATGCATCAACGCTTGCAACATTCGACATACATTAATTGAATTATTTCATAAGAACAAGACCTTGTGATTTCTCTCTTTTCTAATTTTCACATAAAAAATGTCTCTATTAAAAATGTCTCTATTACATTGTTCTCGATTTATGTGATACTTATGTGTGCAAGTTCTTGATACAAAACTAAGATAATAAATTATATATCTCTAATATCACAAATATTCTAACATATAACAATATTATTATTTTTATCTCAAATAACAAACTACATTAACATAAAATATTTATTTAAGAAAACAAGTTCAACATAAATGTGTGAAAGAAATTCCATCTCAAATATTAAAATTGCTTATATTTAAAAAAGTCTGTGATTAAATTTTTTTTTTGTGTTTTCCTGCAAACAATTTAAACTTTGACCTATTTTTTTTTTAATTTATTGTTTGAAAATTGAATTTCGGGTGCTCAACGTCATCAGTGGTCATGAAGATAAATCAGACATCTCACAAAGTTTTATAACTTAAATATGAAAGACAATATCATAAAGATTTTTTAATTAAATTATTTATTTGTCTATGCCTTATCTTCATATCCTTTATTTAATGAAGAAAACGTATTTATATGAGATTTTGCCCTGCCACGTTAGCAGGCTAACAACTACGTGGCAAGGTAAAAGTTTCATGCAAAATAACAATAAAATAATTTACTCTTAATTTTTTTTTTAAATCGCACTTATTTTACAAATTACTTAAAATTTTGCCTTTAAAAATAGATGGTAAAAAATTAAGTCCATTTTTTTTACCAAAAAAAAAAAATTATAGATGGTAAAAAATTAAGTCCATTTTTTTTCCGTATAAATTAAAAAAATCTCATTTTATATTTGACATAAAATCATTTAAAATTTATCAAAAAAAAAAAAAAGATTTTAAAAAAGGAAAAAGTAGGAGAGGAGAATCACTGGATCAAAACATTATAGAGACCTAATTTTTAGTTCAATAAATTTTTATATTGAAAAATTACTTTAAAAAGTAGAATAAAGCTGTTTTCAAATGAAGCCTTAGGCTCTGTTTGGAACGGCTTTCTTATTGCATCTTAAATTAAATTTTTAGCAAAAAAATTAAATTTTGGTATTAAAAATTTATTTTAAAAAATAATAAAAAAAAACTGTTCCAAACAAAACCTTAAATATTTCACATACATCCCAATTACTTTTCGAAGACGCTTTTACTGACCAGATCAATAATGAAATGATGCTATTTGTTGCAAATAGTAAATATTTAATTAAGCTTATCTACCAAAGATTGCATTCACCCTATAACAACAACAAGGCTTTATTTTACTTTGAGATCGGCTACATGAATCTTTTTTATTCATTACTTCTAAGATTACAATCACTCTAATTTAGAAAAACAAATAATTATTGGTGTAAATTACTTTAGTACATAAAGATTTGAAAGTTATTGATAATATTCTGAATTAAAGATCATTTAAATCAAATTTAAAATTGGCCATTCAATTTTTTATTTTTTTTATAAATGAAGAATAAACAACATATGAATTTTGATTTTGTTAATAGTATGCAATGATTTTAATAAAAAAGTTCCAAATTAGGGTAGGTGTGGGTGAGTAATGGAGGGAATTTATATTTTTATATTTTTAATGTGGACTCTAATTTTGAACGATTAAAAGATCAAAATAATCTCCGAACTTTTTATTGAGTATTAAAATAATTTCAGATTATTTAAAAGCCTCATTTTAGTTTATTATTTTTTTAAATAGGAAATTAAATGACCACATAGAAAGATTAATTTGATTCCTAGCTAAACAGTCGAGGTCAAATTGATACTTTTATTTTAGAGAAGATTTTTTATGAATTTGTGGATAAAGTTCATATGAATTTGCTGAGTTTTGATAAGTAATTATGGGTAAATATTTTCAATATCTTCTAACTCTGTATATTTTGCTATTGGGCTAAGAATACTTGATTGGAGGGCTTGGGGCAACTTGAACTCAAAGGTCACAATGGCGACTTCTTTTGATTAATCATGAGGCTGAGTTGGCTAATTTTTAGTCTATATATCATCTAAATCATATTTATAATTCTTATAACATATTTTATTCACAAATTATTATACAAAATTATTTATATTTTTGTAGAATTTTGATTTTATTTCTATGAATTATTGTTTAATGCTCTGCAATATATTTCATAAAGAATTAATATTATTAAAATTTTAATAAAACACGGCTAAAAAGCATTTTGACATTATCCAATTATAATTGCAATAATTTATTGTAGAAGGAAATTACAAAATAAGACTTGGCCGTTCTGCAGAGCTTCAGTGGGTAATAAAGGCGAAATGAAATTCGGATAGAACCCACGCTGACATGAAATTGAAATTCTCCTTAAATTCACGCGGATTTCCACGGTGAGAGAGAGAAAGGGCGGGCAAGCCGAGGGGTCCGCCTCGGCCACACGGAAGAATCGGAGACTACTCGAAAGGATACTGGACTCAGAAGCAACGCAGGCGAGAGAGAGAGAGAGAGAGCGCACACTAGAGAAGGAGAGAACGCTTCGGCTGCTCCGCCCTCTGACGAAGCTGAGTTACCGCCTTTATGCTCATTATCCATCACACATTTGGCGCGATCCGCAGCCTAGGCAGCGGTTGCCGGCATTCCATTTGTCGGCACATTCGTCTTCCTCCTCTTCCCTTGCCTACCTTCTTCTAAAACTCAATTACAAATCCTCCGTTTTCTCTTCTTCTTCTGCATGGAGGAAGCAGAGGAATCCCGCAACGGTATGATGCAGACTTTAAAACCCTCTTCTTCCTCTTCTAATTTCCCCAGCCGATTGGAATCTACGACCGGCGGCCGCGTATTCTACCGCCAGTTCCCTCCTACCCTCATCCCTGATGTCTCCAAGCGCCCCGGCATCCCCCCTGTCCATCCATTATTCACCCCTACCTCACTATACCCCCAGATCCCAACCCCCGGCGGCAGTGCCGCGCCGACGTCTCCAGCGAACTTAAATCCTTTGCCTTCGCATTGCCGCTCCCTCTCCCAGCCTTCTTTCTTTTCTCTGGACTCGCTGCCATCGTTCACTTCTTCACCTTTTCCCGACCAGGCGGCTCCCACCGATGTGAACATGGAGAACTGTTCTGCGGCTGCCCCCCTCACGCAGCAAACTCCTCTCCTGCCTGCAAGAAGAGACCATGCCGTCACTGAAGGGATCCCTCCGCGTAAAGCGCATAGGCGATCACAGAGCGACATCCCGTCTGCATTTCTACAGTCTTCTAATCCTATGTCCGGACTCCCCCCGCTGCCTCAACATCTGCAGGTGACTAGAGAAAGCCCTCCTATTGGATTGGTTAAGCGCCAAACTCAATTTGTGAAGCAAGAGACTGAATGTGATAGAGAAGGTGATAGTGATCTAAAATCTGAGGGAGATGGAGGAGATGATCTCATCAATGCTTACATGAATCTGGACAGCTTGGACACTCTCAATTCTTCTGGTACTGAAGATAAGCGTGATGACTTAGACAGCAAGGCTAGCGGCTCCAAGACGAATGGTGCCGAAAGTAGTGAGAATGAAGCTGAGAGTAGTATGAATGAGGGTGTGAGTAGAATGGTGGAGAGAAAAGAGGGACACAAGAGAAGCGCAGTTGGAGATCCTTCTCCGATCAATATCGCGCCTAGACATTGTAGGAGTCTTTCGATGGATAGCTTTATGGGAAGGTTGAATTTTGGAGAGGAATTACCAAAGCTACCGCCTTCCCCTGGGGATAGGCCTGGTCAACATTCACATAGCGGATCAATGGATGGGATGTCCAACACATTTAGTTTGGAGTTTGGTAATGGGGAGTTTACTGGTGCCGAGATGAAGAAAATAATGGCTAATGAAAAGCTTGCAGAGATAGCAATGAGTGATCCTAAAAGAGCTAAGAGGTGCTTAAATTTTCTCATTTGTGTCATTTACTATAACATGGTACTTCAGAATCCTACCAAATTTCTTGTGTTCATTTGGCAGGATATTAGCAAATCGCCAATCTGCTGCTCGTTCCAAGGAGCGAAAGATGCGCTATATCTCAGAGCTGGAACACAAGGTGCAAACTTTGCAGACAGAAGCAACAACATTGTCCGCTCAGCTGACTTTGTTACAGGTGTTTTTGCAAAAGCTTTTTGTCCGTTGTTATTGGCTAATGCATGTTAATATGATAATTTGGAAATATTGAAGCAATTTTGGCTTTCAGTTGATCTAAGATGTTCTCTTAATACTTTTATTTGACTTCTGTAGAGAGACTCAGCGGGAATCGCATCTCAGAATAATCATTTGAAGTTTCGATTGCAAGCTATGGAGCAGCAAGCACAGCTTAGAGACGGTAATTTTCTTTTTACTAAAACTTTTGTACCTAGATTTATGAATATGATTCTTTACACCAAACAAGAAGGCTGGCAGTTTTTTTTTTAAAGGCTTTTCTCAACTTGTATACAATGATGTCTCTAGGTACGGGTATCCGTGTTGCTCGAATAAACGATACATGTTATTGCTATTCCTGCTTACTTGTTTTTGGTATATTTGTACACAAACTGTTATTTGTGCTATGGTGTTTTCCTAGATCAATGCAAGTAAAAAATGATCATGATAGACTGCTTATTCCACCCGTATGGGTTTCTACTCGGCTAACAAATATCATGATATTCTCTTTTATCTCACGGCGAATGCATTTATGACGTGGGGAGAAAACCTGAAGAAGATAACTCTAAAAGCCCAACAGTTCTAACACCTAAAAACAATGAAAATACTGTTTTAATTCCACAAATAATCATCCATACTTCCTTCTTACAATGGGTTATACTCATAAGCTAGCAAGAGAAATCTAGAGAAATCAAAAAAGTTCTAGAAATCTATAACAAACTTGTAACAAACTAAATCACATATGTCTATGGAACATTTTAACTAAGATGCTCTCCATCAATTTATATCAGGGTTGTAAAATTAGACCCCAAACTTTGATAATTATGCTAAATAGATTGATTCTGACTTCGGCTTCATTTGGAATGCTAGCTTTGAGAAGTAGTAAGAAAGTCGTCTCAAATGAAGCTTTCATTAATAGTTTTGGGAATCGTAGGGACTTTATAGGCTGTTGGCGGTTGGTTTGTTGATAGTTTTAGGAATCGTAGGTACTTGTGAGGATGTTAGCACTCCAATTGTTTTCCTGTATTGGATAGATAATAATCACATTATTAACTTTGCCATGTTTGGTAATTCTTGTTCAATTGCTTTGCTTCCAAAAACTTGCATATCAAGCGTCTAATTTGTGCTGGAGATATAAAAATAGATACAGTCAATTCATTATTATTTCAATTTTAAATACCTGACATTTCATTATGGCCTAGTTTGTTAAAGTCTATTTTTTCTTATAATGCGCGTACACTTCCATTTCATGACCCCGGGCATTTAGAAAGACGTGTGTAGCAACTTGTCCATCTTTATGAGGTAGTTGTGACTATATTAAAAAATGCAACACAATAGTGACATGATTGTACAAACGAAGCCCATGTCATGGATGTGATTGATATTTAAAATTTTAATTTCATAGAATAAATTTAATTTCTTAATTGCGTTGAATACCTTCTGAATTGCCAGTAGACTACCATAACCTTTTATACTATGCATCACTAGGAGGTTGATTACTTTGATTACATAGTATTTCCTGGGGGCTATTTTGATTGCAGTATTATTGGATGGCAATGTTTTTTTCAAAAAGTTTGTATTTGATTTAGGCTTCATTTTTTTACTGCTTCTTAAAGCATCTTTTTAGTATAAAAATTAAAATTTTGTATTAGAAGCTGCTTTAAAAAGTAGTAAGAAAAACCATCTCAAACGAAGCCTTAGTCTTATTTTAAGAGCATCCTGAGAGGTTTCAGAAGATGTCAGGGTCTTCCGTAGATGTCACCCAATTTTTATTGATATCTAGATGCCGTTGATTTAGGGCACGTGTTGATTATATGAAAGTTATTTAAAAATGTCTGCAAACTAAATGGTATAACATGGATTGCATTGCAGTGTCTGTGAACCTAACAACCGCTTACATTGAATCATTCTACCTAAAGTTTCTCATTTCAAGACACTCCTATGAAATAGAAAAACCATAGTGAAAAAATATTCTAATTATGTTGAATTTGAAGTTTGTGCCCATGAAAAGTTGTGAGCTTTAACATCAAATTAGGCCTCTCATAGACATTATAGAAAAAAATTCAATTGAAGCTTTTAGAGTTGATTGCATTTGAGAGAATAGTTTTTCGAGCAGGTTAACTAGATTGATTTATTTGGCGTTGGCAATGTTAGATGAATTCATTTTTTATAGAATAATAGGCCTGGGACAGCTTTCTTTTGAATGTATTCTGAGATTGACTATGTACTGCTCAAAGTTGAGAGTATTGTTATAATATTTATTTTCTAAGACGGTTTTAAGTTTTTTATTTTCTATTTCGCTATCTTCAGATTATTGAAAGATATATTTGGTTTCATGGACATAATTTTTTAGTTTCTTTTCAAAAAAATGTTTTTTTTTTTTTGTCTTTTTGATCCATTACTTTGTTAAGGAGCGATAAGTTAAGTTGTGCCAAAGATTGGTGAAGTGAGCTAACCTGCAATATGGAAGCTGCATAGTACTTTGAGCCAGTTGTGACATTCTTTTGTTTTATTTTTCTACTTTCCTAACGGGTCATCGGAAGAGTGCTGTTTTATGTGACCAAACCATCTAAGACGGCTCTCTCTAATCTTATCTTCCTTAGGAGCTACTTGAACCTTTTCATGTAAATATAAATTGTACTTTGATTGCCATAAAACAAATTCCAACTGAATTTGTACCTTTTTGTTTAATGTTCAGCTTTGAATGAAGCGCTGTCCGCAGAGGTTCATCGTCTGAAACTTTCTACTGGGGAACCACTCTCTGCTAGCTTAAACCATCAAATTCAACTAAAGCCTCAAATGTTACAACTTCAACAGCAGTTGCAAAAACACCATATCCATGCCTCACAAATGGCTCTTCACCCTCTCCAGTCGCCTGAAAAACAGGAACAAAAGCTAAACGCTGATGCTTCAGATACTGAAATGAACCAGTGATTTACTACTGAGGCGCTCAAACACCAAACCATTTCTTACTTACAAGGCAATCAAAAAGGTTCGCTTGTTATGCTTTCGTTCTTCTTTCTGAAATTCTTTTAAACTCTTATTTTTTTTGTTCAAGTAGATAATTTGGAATGTATAAGGGCCGTATTTGTTTTGTAACTAGAAGTACTCGTCTCAACTACAACGAACAGGATGGATTTGAATAGTTGCTGCAGCCTATATTGTTCTTTTATGCAAAATTTTTTTTTTGGTTAACTTGTACTTCATGTTTGTTTGATAAATTTGCTAGTACTTTGCTGGCTTTAATTTTTTACTTTATTATTCATTGCAGACGATCTATTTGTTCATTGCATATTCTTATTTGGGTTTCTTTATATTGTTTGATCATGAACATTTAAGTGTTTATTTGATGAAAAATAAAATCATCTCAAATAGATTATCATTCAATTTGATTTCAAAATATATACATGACATGAAAAGTTGAATAGATATCCAGCTCACACACAGATGAAATGATATAGGACTTTGCTTATATGAATACAAGGTGAACATTTTTTTTTTCCTTACAAAAAATAATTAATTTAGGGCAGAATATAGGATTAAGATTTCGTTTGGGATGATTTTTTTATTGTTTCTATAATTTTTGCACTAAAAAATTGCTTTAAGAATTAATAAGAAAATTACTCCAAATGAAAAGCCTAAGTGGTTCATGACTGAAGGTTATCTTGTTCATTACATTTTTAAAATTTAAAATCTATTTGGTCTAAAATATTATTTACAGAATATTATTAATCAAATAATGTCATATTTGAAATAATAAAGCCTTATTTATAATAATTAATGGTGATTAACTTTTTAAAATCTTCATAATTTAATATTTTTAAATAGCATTCAATTGGATAAAGCATTTATCTAAATTGTATCTGAATGATATTATTTTGGATTGAGCTCAAATTCGAATCATTAATATGAATCGATGCCTCCAATCACAGATGGAAACAAATCAAAGTCATCCAAAAGTATAATGCATACATTAAATGAGAATTTTTTTCTTAATTTAGGTTAATTAAAAAAATTCACTCATACTTGCATCATATATGTAAGATTCAAATCTAAGATCTTTTGGTTGATCGTCAAAGTTCTCAGCCAACACATCAAGATTTGTTGAGTAAATGAGAATCATCATTGATTTAGTTTTCATTTGGGATAACTTTCTTACTGCTTCTTAAGACAGTTTTTTAGTACAAAAAATTAAAATTATTGTACTAAAAAATTACTTTACACACAACTCATCTAGGTCAGTTGGTTGGAAGCTTAAGCTGCGAACTAAGAGGTCTTCAGTTCAAGTCTTGTATATGCGATTTGTGTGTGTCTGCCTTAATTGGCTTAAATGTCCAAAAAAAATATTTTTAAGAAGCAATAATAAAATCGTCCCAAATGAAGCCTTTAATTTTATTTGGGACGATTTTTTTATTGTTTCTTAAAATATTTTTTATATAAAGAATTAATATTTTTACTAAAATTTTGATTTAAGAATAAGCAAGAAAGCTGTTAAAAATGAAACCATAGTAATTAACAAAGGTTGAATCAGTCTTGCACACTTATTGATTAAAAGTTCTTCATGAATTTAATGTTAACCAAATATGGTTGCGGGCTATAAATCAGGCCAATAAGACAAGCGACAGCTATTGATCTTATCCACGAGAAACTTTATAATCAAGGTATTATTGTCATGTGTCACGTCTGGACCTAATACTTATAAAATATTTGTACATAATTCACAGTATTTAACTATTTATTCATGCTTTTATGGTTTTTTATAATGGCTTTTGGTACCAGCTCACTCTATTAAATGTATGTCGTTGACGGGGTAGGACCCTATTTGATCAGAAGATCACACCCAGCTTCGACTGTTATAATTTTTTATAAAAATTGTTGCGGGCTAGAGTATACGCGGCGATAGAGTTAGAGTTCTACATATTAGCATTGCACAGATATATACCTCACACACAGAGAACACAAGATTTTTTACGTGAAAAATCTTAGAAAAAGAAAAAACCACGGGGCCTGGCCAGTTGAGAATGATTCAATTAGAACTCGAATAGATTACAGCGGGCTGACTCGTCCTTGAGGGCGATCATATTACAAATGTCAACTGCAAAGTTCAAATCTTGTGACAAACGGGGATGATATTCCGACGTCATTTGGTGGTCTGGTAGAAGTCCGTCGTGACTTGGAAATTCAAGAGTTTATTGGTAGCCCGACAAAACTCCAGGGTCACTTGGTGGTTCGGCAGAACTCCGGGCGTCAAGTGGTGGTCTAGTAGAACACCGGGCCTCAGGCGGTGGTCTGGCAAAAGTCAGGGGCCTTAGGTGGTGGTCCAGCAGAACTTAGGGCCTCAAGTGGTGGTCAGGTAGAAGTTAGGGCCTCAAGTGGTGGTCTGATAGAAGTTAAGGCCTCACGTGGTGTTCCAACAGAACTCTGGGCCTCAAGTGATGATATGACAGAAGTCTGGGCCTCAGGTGGTGGTCCGGCTAAAGGCTGAGCATTAGGTGGTGGTCTGGCGGAACTCAGGGCCTCAGGTGGTGGTCCGGCAGAACTATGGGCCTTAGGTGGGGGTCCAACGGAGCTCAGGGTCTTAGGTGGTGGTCCGTACGGAACACAAGGCCTTAGGCGGTAGTCCGGCGGAGCTCAGGGCCCTAGGTGATTGTCCGGCGGAGCTCGGGGCCTCAAGTGGTGGTCTGGCGGAACTCAGGGCCTTAGATGATGGTTCGATGGAGCTCAGGGCCTCACGTAGTGGTCCGGTGGAACTTAAGGCCTTAGGTGGTGGTCTGGTGAAGCTTAGAGCCTCAAGTGGTGGTTTGCCGAAACTCAGGACCTTAGGTGGTGGTCCGACAGAGTTCAAAGCATCAGGTGGTGGTCCGGCGGAGCTCAAGACCTCAAGTGGTGATCCGGTGGAACTCAATGCCTCAAGTGATAGTTCAACAAAACTCCAAGTAGTGGGAGGCTAAGAGGCAAGAGTGATCTCCAATCTTTTTCTTTTCTCCTTAGGCTTAGGGTTCCTTTTCAAGAGGAAAGGTGGCTCTATTTATAGATTCTTTGAAGTGACATGACCTATAAATAGGTGGAAATTAAGAGCAAATGAAGAGTGGTTTGGATGAACGACCGATGTTGAATCCCTTGATCGTGGACCGTTTGATGGACATTTGAATGACTTAGTGATGTCGGAATTCCGTGATCTTGGGATCGTTGGATTCGTCTCGTCTAGCCGCTTGATTCCACTATAAGCATGTCACATTTGGAAACCGTTTGGTAACACAAATTATGGTTCGAACCTTCTAACAGCACTTTGGGCCCTTGATTTGGACCCATTTGGGCTTGGATTAGGTTGATTTTGGTGTCGTTGGGTTTGTATTCTCGAGACATTCAGTTTGACTGTAAGTTTGCTGAAATCGGAATTCCGATGGTCTCAATTTTAATTTTGGAAGTTCCCAATTTTATTTTTCCTCGAGATTCATGCCCGATTAAGATATTTTTTTGATGATGTATAAAAAATTATTGTAATATTATTATTATGAAATTTTTTTTTTGAAAGTTACTGCAGAAAATAATTTTCTTGTAAAAAAAATAAAAATTATTAAAACAATGAAAAATAAATGGCCAAAGAAAATTTGTTATTGTGATTAGAAAAGCAAAATAGAAAGAAAGTTGTCCAACACCAATCATAATTTTATTTTACAGATTATTTTCATACTTATTTTTTTATTGTTTTTCAAAAATTGTTGTGATGAAAAAATATTTATTGCAATTATAATAGCTAAATTATTTTTCTTACAACGACTTCACAATAAACTTGACAAAATATTGTAAATATTCCAAATAAATATTAACTTTGAGCAGACGTGCTGAAGCAAGTGCATAACCCAATAGCTGTTCTGGTTCTTGCAATAACCCAATAGGAATGCTTTGTTTGTTCCGGAGTTGATTATTATTTGCAAAGCAACACATCTTAGCTTTGGTTTGAAACAACTTTTTGATTGCTTTTTCAAGCTTAATTTTTAATACAAAAATTTTTAATTTAAAATTTTTGGGTACATAAAAATTACTTTTAAAAGTAATAAACATTCATAGTTTTAAAAATATATTTTTTACTTAAAAATTTTGAAAAAAAGAAAAATAACATGATTTGGCATAGCTAAAATGTCATCATTGAAATAAGTGACATATTATAAATGATGCTATTTTTTGTTATTGGAGAAATCATTAATACAATATAGCATATATAAACTATGAATGATGTCTTTCATGATGGAAGTAGAAGAGCCTTGAGATAACAAAGTTATCATCAAGAGGCAATTAATAGTCTTTACGATTTTTCTCTTGATAAGATGATAGACCAATAACTAAACGGCGTGCTTCAACCTTGGTAGCTATGGCTGGAATTTGCCTTGATGATAATTCAAGCATCAATGATGGTGACAGCAACGAGCGTCCATGATTGTTATAACGTCAATCACTAGCAGTGGTTGCAAAGTTAGGTGTCGATCTTCGTGGTGATGTTAGGCGTCAAAGTTGATGAAGACATCAAATATATATATATTGTTAGTTATGGTAGGCTTTGACCTTATTAGCAATGTATAACATCCATATTTCGGTGATATTAGGAGTTGATACAATCAATATTGTTGGTGATGAAAGGTTGGAGATTGTAGGCATCGACCTTGTTAGTGATAACATGAGTCAACTTTGTTGGCGATAACAATGGTTGGCCTTGGTGGGTACGATAGGTAATGGTGACAACATCGGATGGTCTTAAAGTTAGTTCCGAAACTGTTTAGTTTTAATTACTTCGTGCTTTGAAATTTAAAAATTACATCAAGTTTCATGCTTACCTAAAAAATTTTAACCAAAAAGAAGCAAATAAATCTGAAATGATGCCTCTTTGACTCTAACATTTCATCATGTCAATCAATCTCTACGCGCCCTCAAGCTACTTGCACCTTAATCTCTTGGTATGTAAAGTCCACTCATCAAAATATCTCCTTCAACGATCTTCTTGATGCCTTCTTAGTATATGTTCCATTAAGACTCAACTAAAAGACAACACATGCTATTTATACCTCACATAAGCCTCAAACTACCACAACTACTACCCACAATGACCAATCTTAGGTATGCATTTTATCTAACCTTTTGGTTCCATAGGAAATATGGAATTTTTTGAGATGTTTTGTAGAGATAGGATGCTTTACAAAAATGGAGTTCATATCCCTCTATCTATTTCCCCCTCCATTTTCTCTTATTGTGAATAAGAAAAAAAAAATACTATAATGAGGATGGCCAAAATTTACATGCAACTCTTCTTAAATTCACCTATGAGGGAGATGATGAAAAGGATGGAGAGTATGTTTTTTTGGATGATAGCTTGTACAAAATTCATAGCTTCGCCATCTATGCTACAAATTTCTTGGATAGAATACAATGGCTAAAACTATCATTTTTTAAACTAAAAAAGTTGGAGTATAAATAATTGTTCTGGCTAATATTTTAACGCCTTGTCATATATGAGTTATTGAAATGGTGGATGTGACATCATGATTTTCATGATAGATGGTTATAATAGTCATAACAATAAATGAGATCATTTTAAAATAACAAATTAATCATCTTGGGGTTGAAGTGGTTGAATTGGACGGAAGATCATACATGGCAAATTTCAGAACTGTTAGTATCCTTTGAACAATTGACTCAATCTTGTTTGATGTGGTTCCGATTGATCATGATCGAACTATATCGTATTCAAAGTGATGCTTCCATGTTGATGGTTTCGATTTTGTGCAAGAAACGAGGCATCAAAGTTGTTAGGCCCCACTCCCATGAACCTCACTTGTGAGATTTTCATTCACAATGCTCTTCCCATGCATTGAAATACCTCAAGTCGAAGGCCTTCTCTCTCTTTTCTAAGGCTTCATTTGTGCAGTTTTCTTACTTCTTTCTAAAGCAGTTTTTTAGTTAACATATTTTTTAATTAAAATTTTTTAACTAAAAAGTCACTTTAGAAAATTGTCCCAAACAAAGTAGAAGTCTTTCCTTGACCTATAGTGACTATTTTCTTGCTTTCACACTTCCTACTTATTAAAATTTGCCTTATAATTTAATTTTTTTCTAAATAGATATTATATTTAAATTAATGACACAATAATTATTTATATGATAATAAATATTTATTTTTTTGAAGTAATGAAATTAATACTTGACTCCAATTTAATGTTTATTGTTCTTCTTATTTTCCATATTTTAAAAAATGAGATATTTACGATGAAAATAAATTGCTTTATTTAATAAAATATTATAATATTTTTAGGTAAACTATCTATTTTTTTAGTGAAATTCTTATTCCCAACTTAAATATTAAACTTGCAGATGATAGTCTTAATAAATAATATGCCATATATTAATATAACTAAATTAAAAATATGTATATTTTTGGGTAAGGATATATAATGAAAATTCAACAATGATAATTCTCATTATTAAATTTATTTTGATATAAATATATAACATAATATATTAATAAAAATATGTTATATTCATTTAATAAAAAATCAATTATTTTATGACTCATTCAATAAAAAAATTGATCAGAATTTTCTGTATTTTTTTTTAAATATGCAATCTTAATGGATTTATAAATAACTGATTTGATATTAAGCTAAATCTAATTTTTTTTAGAAGAATAACATTATTTCATTTTCTTGTAGGCCCAAGATAAATTAACAAGCCCTACATGCAACGGCATGGAAGGGTGCTATACTGCCTTCATTTCCCTCCAAACTTGCTGTATCTCTTTCTACTCCAAAACCCGACGCTGATCACGGAGGAAGGTCCATGGAAACCTACTCACCCCCCCGTGCTCCGTATTTCTCTTTCTATCTTTACATGTTTCAGCCGATGCAGGTATCTTAGCTAATCTATTCTCCGTTCCACTCTTCTCGATTCAGGTATCCTGTTTTTTTTTTATTGCTCTCCTTGAAAGTTATCCTTTTCCATTCGTGATCTGTATTCAGGAAACACACTTCGGAGAGCAAAGGAAAAACCATAAGGAATGTCTTTGATGGTTGACCATAACCCTTGTGCGAGGGAGTTGGTTTCTGCATTTGGGTTGCAGATACGGCGCACAATCTTGTCTAAGTGCAAGAGGTTAGTCTTGCTTGATTGTGTTCTCTTTTGTATAGTATCACCGACATTGTCAATTAGGATTTATTGATTAGCAGTGAAGGTTAATTGATGTATAGTTTTGCGGAATCGTGAATTCTGTCTGCGAGCTAAAGAATGTAGTGTGATATATGTAGCTAACTTGATTCTTTGAGTCAGATTTATCACTTCTCTTATATTAGATGCTTTTGTGGACGAGGGAAACGGATAAGGCAATCAAGGGTATGTTGGCTTGTTGACTGCTTGTTTTGCTAATTGTGCGCAGGACATGCAATTGAGATTGAAATGATCCACTTCCCCAAATTCTAATAGCATTCAATGACTATCTTTCATTTGTGATAGTTTGGTTCCGTTGGTATAAACCTTTCCATTACCATCAATATATGCATCCCAAACTAGTAGATGTGTATCTTTGTGCATAGAGGTACCAACCATTGTAGAGATCTATAAAAGACCAAACCCTCTCCTCCTTGTTAAGGTTCGCACCTCCTCCATATTCTAACAATGAATAACATTAAAGAACTTTTAAACCTTCATAACAAGATATTCTAACGAAATTAGTGATGGTGGAATCGTGCCAACATACACCAAATTTAAGCTAAAGATAATGCATGTGCTTCTGCTTATTCTATCATTTACCTCTAAAGGATGACAATGAGATGGATTCATTGTTCACTCTTCATGCAACTTTGATGATTACTCTCTAATCGAAATCATCGATTTCTTCTTTATATCGCTTCAATACTTGCTCCTTAATTAGCATCGTTGTTTACAATCTCTATAGATTCAGCTCCGGCTTCTTAATCTAAATCGTTGCCTACACTTTTACACAATTTTGATGCTCGTTATTCAATTGCCATTATTCTAAATAAAATCCTCACTACAAAACCTTGAGAGCAATCTTAAAGAGTGAGCCCCAAGAGTTATTGTGAGTAGATTGAGTTTATGCCTTTTCAGAAGTCCTCAAAAGTGGCTCCCACTTGATGAATCTCACCACTTCGGGGGCATCATAGCAAGGTTTTATAACAAAATTAATTATGGTGGAATGGTGCCAACAAACACCAAATTTAAATTAAGGTCCATGGCATAAGCTTTTGATGATAAAGACATTGACTCGTTGGTCACTTTTCATAAAACTTTGTTGATTACTCGCCATTCCTCATCATTGATTTTTCATTTATCTCGCTTCAATACTTGCTCTTTAATGGTCATAACCCTAAACCCCTCTAATGGGCATCCTGGCCTATAGGCCTAGGTTTTAAGCCCCACTATATGGGCCACTTAGCTTACAATTCTAGGACAGAAGTCCCTTCGTCGGGAAACTTCTAAACCTAGAAGCCATAAGACCTATCTAAACATCCAAAACCCATGGGCATCTTAGCTTATAGGGCTAAGTTGTAAGACCCGTTATATGAGCCACCTCTAATAGAGTCCGTAAGACCCATTATTATGACTACTTTCAAATGAAAGCTATATATAAGCCCCGACCCAAATCTAAACTACGAGAAACTCCTAAACAAGGCCATAAGACCCAACCCAAACCTAAATTATGGACAACTTCTAAATGAAGTCATAAGTCCGTACCCAAATTAAAAACACTAATATATATATGTATATCCACCTCAGTATACTCGGAATCTCTGAGATGAGGTAACCCATGGCTGCTAATCAGATTCCCTGGACACTAGATCAATGGTCGTTAGTGTTGGTAGATTGAACCCTATGGTATTCCTGGGATGACAAAACCATGGGATCTTGATCGGGTCTACCTTTATTCCCCACAACTAAGGTTTAGAACATTCACACACTGTTGTACACATGTATGCACTTCATGCACAAACTAAATATAACTTCATTCTTAATCGAGAGTACTTTTCTACGCATTAGAAGGGGTAATTAACTATGAGGGTTTGCGCTCATAGGAAGTAGGATCTTGATCTAAATAAACCCTGACACTACTCTCAGGGAAAATCTGGTTAATTTAAAATTCAGTCTACTTCGGGAAAATAAGGATCTTAACTTGTGAGAGCGAGGTTCACTCCCATTTTTCCTGAGCGAACAATTATTTATTGATATTTCCTAAAATATGTTTAATTGTTTGGGCAGATTTCCTATATGATTGTGTTCTTGAGCTATTTAAGGGGGAATTGTCTAGGACTTAGAGTATGCTATTGCTAAGATTTGTGTTTTTCTGTAGTTCTTTTCTTTAAGAGCTTTCTAATGACATCTAGGTTGATTGGGAGAGCCAATCTACCTCTCTATTCGTAGATCACTTGTATCTTGTTCTCGTATTGAAATGATAATACAAAATCAGCCATTGTTTCAAGTATTTCTGCAGTTTCTACTATTTCTTTCGCTGTTTTTTACTTCAAAGACGTATCAATGTCCTCGAGTGTGATTCCTAGAGAGGCCTAGATGTACAAATGACTCTTTAAAAGAAACCTATCTCATATTACTTAATCATTAGAAATAAAGATTTATGCACCTCATATTCAATTAAACTCTTTAAAGAAACCTATCAACTAAAATCTTAAGTTTAGGCCACTTTTGTGGCCTTTAATTTTAACATTATTGAAATGTTGATAAAATTTTGCTTTCTCCCTAATCCTTTCTTCATGTATATGTATGCCAAGCAAACAAGATCAGAAAATAAACTTGATTTTAGTTTGATTATTGTTAAAATTTTATTGAGTTAAATCAACTTGTTTGATTGAATTATCATCTTTAGTAGGCCAGAGTTGTTTACCTTCACATTTAAATGTCTTCATCAATCAGTTCAATTTACTAATCATCTACAACAAACATGTTTTTGCTCACTTTCACTCAGGAGTTGATTCAATGGAAGCACAGATTCATATTTAGTAGTTTCCATAGGAAGTTCAGGTTCACACTCAAGGTTGGATTTAGAAAAGGTAGGTTCACATTCGATGCAATTTCAATTTTAATCTGAAACTTAATTTTCTTAGAGTTGATCTTGTTTTTTACTTTAAATTTCGGCTGAACTCTTTCTAAGCATGAGCTCAGGTTCATTAATAAATTCTAATATTAGTGTACATTTAGATTCAATAAAATTATATACAAATTTCAAATTTGGAATTTAACTTGTTCTAATGCAGATTAAGGAATATGTGCTAATATAGTTGCATATTCAATATCGACAACTTCAAAAGAATCCAATTGCAATTGTAAATCCTTATCTTATTCGTCTTCAGTGGTATTTATATGTAGTCGGATTTATGATTTTATAGTTTGTTTTCCATTTTATTATTAGCATATATGCTTTGACTTGTGGATTTGTAAATATTAAAATTTTACATGCACCAATTGCACGTAGCTAGTATCACTTTTCACCATGGTTTAAAATTGCGCAATATGAGGCTCGCCTTTGTGCAATTCCAGTGAAAAACGCCTCGATGCTTACGCCTTGAGTTTTTTTTATGAGGCTTGTGCCTCAACTTGGTTGAGGCCCACCTTGCCTCACTGGCATGAGGCTTACGCCTCACGCTATATATATATTAAAACTTACATAAATCTTGAAGTAAATGCCCGACATTGGACTCTATAGGAGAGGAGGTAGGGGAGAGAGAAATTCATCATAATGATGATTCAAATGAAGAATCCCTTAGTGATAACAGTGCTGATAACTTATGTGTTCTTATGTGATATGTCATCGTTATTTATTTTTTGAAATTTGAATTATATGTTAATGAAAAGAATACTGGGATTTGGGAAAGATAGAATTTTGAGTTGAACTATATTTCATGTTGTCTTATTATTGGGATATTTTGATTTCACTTCATATCTTATGCTTTTTTATATTTTATATTATTCACTCATAATATATATATATATATATTGTGTGTGTGTGTAAATGCACAAAATGTATACAGATGTGAATGTGCATATGTGAACCCACAAACATATAAGTACTCGTGCAATGTGCATATACACATGCATATATATCATACATATCCACTGCATATGTATGACTATCATACAAACACATGCAAAATGCATTCAACAGTATATACCCGCATGGGCCCCAGCGAGTGTGTTGTATGCATACATTTGACGTCTGAGGATGCATGAAATGAACTTAAATTCAAGCCTAATCCTCTGTCGGCAAATAAATGGAGTCGACATAGCTTGAATCATTGAAAAAATATATGGTCATAACGCTGACCGAAGTCTTGATTTTATACGTTTATATTAGGCTTTTAAGGTCTATTATAAGAAAGATTCATCAATAATAATTATAAAATCTACATTGACCTAATCCTCTATTGGCAAGTAAATAGAGTCGATAAGGTTTAACAAATAAAATAAAATTGTCCATAAGTATCTTAATGATGGCTATGTTGAAAAAAAATATGAACCGAAAAGGACCACAAATATTTAAAATGCCTTCAAATTCCCATAAAAATTCAAAACTAAAAAAAAAATACTAAAACCTAAAATATTTAAAATTGAAATAATAACACTTAAACACTTAAAGCAAAATACATCCACCATCCGCAACAGTTTGTAGGGGTGGACAAGTTCGAAAATTACAAATAGCGAATGTCTATTGAGAATATCACTAGGATTCGTTCTCAAACCGTCTCTAGCCAGTAAGGATATGACACATGTCCTCTAACTGTTGACTTTGCAGCTAAATGAGACTACATGTAAACATTTATAACCTGGGCTCTCTGACTGGGTGTTTTTGCTACCAAATGACATCATTAAATTACAGTCATAGTTAGAGCCCGTATGTTTCCCAATGACACTAAATCATTGAGTAATGAATCAATAGGATATGATCGATAGGGCATAAAGCCCTCTGCTAGCTAAGGTGGATTCAAATTTGTCCCCTTAGATAAATATTTACGAGGTACCCTTGGATGAAGCAACCCATGATTGCTGACAAGGATCCTTCTGTCAGGTTGGGTCGTCTACCTCCTCCGACTAAGTAGACTTAGGATCATGATGACCCGGGACGACGGAATCATAAGATCTTGATCGGATCTTTCATCATTTCCCCCACCATCCGCTTAAAGTATAAGGTTGCGAATTTCTAATTTTAAATGTTAAAATTTCAAATATCAAAATATGTTGCTATTATTTGCTAGATACTATGCATCTGTGGATACTATGTATCTATTCGACGACTAGCCTTAATTGAAAGTTTTCTCTTGTTATCAGGAGGGGTAATGAGCTATAGGGACTTGCGTCTATAAGAAACCTGAACTCAGATCATAAAGTCCTTGCAAAATGAGGGTGAAATCTTTGGGTAATGTCTTATTTAGAACCCAATTTGTCTTCTGGAAAATTGCCTCAAAACTTAAGCTTTAAAACTCTCCTTGACAACCCAAACATAAGAAAGGAGCTGCGGAGAGGTCGGGGCGCAAATTTTCAGAGCCCACAGCCATAATCCATAAATGATATAAAAGAAAAGAAATAATATTCATAGCAAGGATCAAATCCAATGGAATTAATAAAGCAAAAACGAACTTTATTTAAAAAAAAAAAAAAAAAAAAAAAAAAAAAAAAAAAACTGAAGTGCTAATGTCGGAACATGTTAAAGGTTCTTAAAGAAGGGACGAGGGATAGCAGAGACGACAAGTATTTTCAGGCGAAATAGGGTCAGTGATGATGTACAAATATGATTTAGGATGAAGGAATGAGTAGTTATCTTCTACCTTCCATAATTTTAGGAAGGGATTTTGGCAGGAATCAAATACTCCAGGAACTAGCAGTGAATACCCATCTTCTCCCATTCTGGTTTAACTGTTCTTTAAATGTTAATTTTTTTGTTTGGAGAAAATGAAAGGTCAGGATTTCTGTTTTTAAATGTAAGTTTCTGATGTATTTTGGTGAAATCACAACCCACTATTTTATAGTAGTATAGGTTGTAAGATTTTTCTTATCTGGATTTCTTATTTTTTTGGTGAAATTGCGGCCTACCATTTTTAATTTTTTTAATTAAAATAATGAATTTTTTGAGTTGCTGTTGAAAACATTGTCATAAACATAGAAAAAGAAGTCTTGTGGAGATTTTATTTCTTGTTCTTTTTTGAGTATTCGATCTCTATTGAAAAAGGCTCCAATTCACCTCTCGCCTTCCCCATCTCTATTTTGGCTTAATGCTAGGAAGCAAATTAACCAATTCACCTCTGTTTAAATTATTCATTCATTTTTCTTGTCATATGCAGTTCACCTCAATTGGTCTTTTATTGTGATGGATTTGCGTTTTCAGATAGGATCTACTGCCTCATAAATATTTGCCATGGAATGTTGGGTGGCGACATTTTTGTTGATATTAATGCGCTTTTTAATCAGATGAGACAGAGCTCAATGAATTCTTTTATAATTCCTTTTGATGTTGACTATTGTCATGTGAAATCTTACTTTCATCTTCTTGTCAATACTATGGGCTGATGCTGTTATTATGTATTTTAACTTACAGGAGTTTTAGATGGGATTCTCCAAAAGCTGCCATTATTTCGAATTTTCATCTTCCAATGCACAGCCATGAGTTCAAAACCAGGTTATTTTTTTGTTTAACAAGCTTTAAACTGTGCCACAGAGTCTAACTTGTAGGTATTGCACATAATGAACAAGTTATTATGTGCTGAATTGCTTTTCTTTTCCCAAAATTTTTTATCATATTGAAGGCCGGGATGGTTTATCTAATTAAAGAAATATTCCACTTCTTGTTTTGTATTCCTTTCTTCTACTTCTCGGCATCTAAAAGTCTTCTGAACGAGGGAATATGAATATGAAGAACTTTTTCCTTGTGGAAGATATATGTGAAATTAATTGTTGGGTTTGGTTTTGCCAAGCTTTCAACCCAATATGATAGGTGGATGATGTTGTTTAACCTTCACTTTCATTGTGGGAGCTTATACGAGGATAAAATATTGGGAACTCCAGCATCACAATCTTATTATTTTCTTGATAATCATTGTTATGAATATGCTCCTCTACCTTGGCACCTTAGGCATGATGTTGATGATACCTACATTCGATTATAGGTTTGGGCCGTTTGGCCCAAAGGCACTTTGAATGGTTGGTAGAGATGGTGATTTGAGATTTTCATTGCGAGTTGTAGTTGGGATTTTGGTGGTTTAAATAATTTTTTTGGGGGGATTTTTGAACGAATTTAATCGCAATACACGTGCATATGGCAATGTCACACTCAATCCTAGGTTGTCAAGCCATGAGGCATGAGCTAGGTGACCTTTGGAGAGCTTTTAAGTTCCCAATCGTTAAGCCATGAGCTAGGTGACCTTTGGGAGTCTTTTGCATCAGATGATATGGCCGTGGGCTATTTATGTGGAAAAAAAAATGTATTATGTGCATGATTTAACGGGATTTGCTGTTTGACTTTTTTTTTTATTGATTTTATTATCATTAACCTTGTAAATTGAAGCGTACTTTTATATCATAAAATTGATATGAGGCATGCAAAAATGCAATCTAGTATATTCTGAATAAACTTTTGTTGTGATATTCATTTTTGTATTATCATTGATCAAGAGTGAAATTCAAAATGTTCATGAGAGGTTATTTTCTTAAACAATTTTCAAGAGAGAGAAAGAGTGCGAGTTCATGCTGTGTAACTGAGAAAAGTATCAAAATTGTCTCTTAACTATTTTATAGCTCTTCGTCCTCTGGTTGTTGAAATTGGGGTTTCTCTGATACGAACTTTCGTATGACGTGTTGAGTAGACGAAGCTGCCAGCGATCTAGCCTTTTATACCCATTTAGGTTTCATACTTAAGCTATGGGAAATGTGTTTTCCAATGCCGAATTTACTGAAGTTGGTAGATCTGAAGTCATCCTTTGTGGTTGAAGATTTGGAGTTTACACGTATTTGGTTGTTGTTCACGACTCATCCTTCCCACTTGGACTTTGATTCTCCAATCGATCAGGAGAATTTAGTAAAGTACGACAACTGGAATTTATCGAGTCGAATAAGCCTTCGTACTTCCCACAATCCCTACTAACGGATTGATGAAGTGGGGGTTTCACTACTACGACTTTTCTTATGGCATTTTGAGTAGACAGAGCTGCCAACGATCTGACCATATTTGGGCTTATTGGATTTGACCTCTTATACCTATTTGAGCCTTAAGCTTGAGACTGTTGAAAGACTTCAAGCTATTCTAGTTGGACTTGCTGGAGTGTGTAGTCACAAAAAGTCTTTTTTCTGGCATTTAAAATCTTGGTACATTGGAGAAGATAGTGTCCCAAACTTTTGAAAGATCACCTGCATACTTTGAAAATGAATTCGTTGATAGAGGAAATTTTTGCATCCTTCCATATGAAGAAATATTTGTATTCTTGATTTTAAATATTTATTTGAGAATCTCGGCATGTAGTGTGATGTCGATTCGAATAAATATTTAAAATGCCTCATATCTTGCAGGGACATTTTAAAATGGAATAAATTTATAATTTTGAGATTTTAAATATTTATTTAAGGATTTTGGTGCATAGCACGATGTCAACCCAAATAAATATTTAAAAATGCCCCCTATCGTGCAGGGAGATTTTGGATAGGCTTTATATTTTGAGGTTTTAAATATTTATTCGGGGATTTTGGCATGCGATGCGATGTCGACTCGGATAAATATTTAAAATACCCCCAGTCTTATGAGAGGATTTTTGTGAGATTTTTGAAATGCATTCTTGTAATACAAGAGAGTTTCAAAATATAAGATATACTTACGTAAGAGAATACATATAAAGTACATGATGGTTTAACATATAACCATTCTTATGCATATTATTTCTTTAGGTATTGACCGTTGATCAATGGCATTATCACAACCTAGTTTGAATTCCACAAGCCTCATATTCTCATTAGCAATAGACTTATAATTTCCATAATTAACGATTATATTTTCTCAATCTCCCCATATAAATTAGACAAATTATGTAAGTTTTATGTAACAAATAATGAAAATACTAGAATCTCCAATATGCATCCATGGAGATGCTGATAATGCTTCATAACTTAGTATTAATAGATGATTAAAAAAGTTGTAAACATGCACTCCAATTAAACGTGAAATCCAGCTTGTTTAGCTATTGGGTAATTTAATTCCTTATTTACCAGCCTCACTTGATAAACAACTTTGAGAACGGAATGGTTTTGTTGTTATCTATGCAGGACTTCGGTGGAGGACATAAAGCGCCTAAGACTAATCACTGCTATAAAAACGCCTTATTTACCCAATGGAAAATTTGACCTCGTAGCTTATGACTCTCTGATTCAGATGCAGATAGCTAATGGTGTTGAAGGTGTGGTAGTCGGAGGAACAACTGGAGAAGGTCATCTTATGAGTTGGGACGAACACATAACGCTCATTGCTCATACTATCACTTGCTTTGGAGCCATTCTCAAAGTGATTGGTAACACTGGAAGAAACTCAACAAGAGAGGCAATTCACGCAGCTGAACAAGGCTTTGCCGTTGGAATGCATGCAGCGCTGCATATTAATCCCTACTATGGCAAAACATCAATGCAGGGCCTATTATTCCATTTTGAGAGTGTTCTTCCTATAGGGCCAACTATCATTTATAATGTGCCTTCCAGGACTGTACAGGATATTCCTCCTTCGGTGATCTATTCTATTGCAGAGAACCCCAACGTGGCTGGTGTTAAGGAATGTATGGGAATTGATCGGATTGGAGAATATGTTGCTCGTGGGTTAACTATATGGAGTGGCAATGACGATGAGTGCATTGATGCAAGGTGGGTTAGTGGAAAAAATGGAGTTATATCTGTCGCTAGCAATCTTGTTCCAAGATTGATGCAGGAGCTCATGTTTAAGGGTGCAAATCCTTCAGTTTGTAGAAAGCTGTCGCCATTGTTTGATTGGTTGTTCTCTGAGCCAAACCCAATTGGTGTTAATACAGCGTTGGCTCAGCTTGGTGTGATCAGACCCATATTCAGGTTGCCATATGTTCCTCTTCCTTTTGAGAAAAGGGTGAGTTTTGTTAAAATAGTGGAGACAATTGGGAGGGAGAATTTTGTGGGGGAGAAGGATGTGCAAGTGCTTGAGGATGATGATTTTATTTTGTTGTCTCGTTCTTAGAAAACCGCGTCTTACATTCATGCATGTTAAGTTTTGTTTGGAGTAGCTTTTTTGTTGTTTTCTAAAACAATATTTTTGTATTTTTGTATTTTTTTGAATTAGAAATTTTTGTACTAAAAAGCTGTTTTAGAAAGCAGTAAGAAAACTGTCTCAAATGAAATCTTAAAATAGATTATACTTCATGCATGGCTAGATATTAAACGTCAACCAGTTTATTTGATTTCTTGTGCTATTTGGTTTCAATTTCCATCAATAATCATTCTTCTTGCTTCATGCACCAACTGGTAAAGTAAAAATTGCCAGCAAGCCATAGCGATATCTCACTTGATGTAGATTGTTTCCAGTTCTAGGAGTTTGTGAATAGTTTTTATTGAAATTGATTGTTATTTTAAACTGAATTCCAGTTAATGGCTCATGGAAATTTTGAAATTACATATTTTGTTGCCACACTTATGAGTTTTTTTTAGTCTTAAATCGTTAGTGGTTTTTCTTTTTGTTATAATGTTGTTTTAGGGGTTGCAAGTGAGTTAAGCTAACCCGAGTTTGATAGCTTTTTTGTTGTTTTCTAAAATAATTTTTTTGTATTTTTTTTTTTTGAATTAGAAATTTTTGTACTAAAAAGCTGTTTTAGAAAGCAGTAAGAAAACTGTCTCAAATGAAACCTTAAAATAGATTATACTTCATGCATGGCTAGATATTAAACGTCAACCAGTTTATTTGATTTCTTGTGCTATTTGGTTTCAATTTCCATCAATAATCATTCTTCTTGCTTTATGCACCTACTTGTAAAGTAAAAATTGCCAGCAAGCCATAGCGATATCTCACTTGATGTAGATTGTTTGCAGTCTAGGAGTAGTTTGTGAATACTTTTTATTGAAATTGATTGTTATTTTTAACTGAATTCCAGTTAATGGCTCTTGGAAATTTTGAATAATTTAAATATTTTGTTGTCACACTTTTGAGTTTTTTTTAAGTCTTAAATCGTTAGTGATTTTTCTTTTTGTTATAATGTTGTTTTAGGGGTTGCAAGTGAGTTAAGCTAACCCGAGTTTGACTTAATAAATGACTCATGGGTTGAACTTGATGAGCTCCTTAGCAATTTGTTGGCACATGTGCCTGCACTTTTTAAAAAATATTAATCAAGAGTTTTAACATAAAATTATTAAAAATGTTTAAAAATTATAACTTCTTTTTTTATATCATGTGATTGTTTATTATTATTATTTTTAAATTTCTCATTCTTTTTATTATTTTATTTTAATGATTTTTTGAATCATAAATAATCCCAATTTAATAATAATTGAACTAGCACTACAAGAAATTCACTGAAGGAGAGAAGGCGAAAAAATTCATGTGAGTATAATTTTTTGAAATAAATAGAAATTTATTTTATGGATTTATTCTCATATGATGGTTTTATACAACTTTGAGATAGTTAGCAGTCTATTGGTGATGTATCATCTTCAGGATCGATCAAATATTATGAGCATCACATGTGGTCAAATGTTGTTGGAGGAAGGCAGAAGGGGAGATTTTATGGCTTAGGTTTGTAGAGATATGCTTATGAGGGCAGTATATCTACTTCAACATTTTATGATGTTAGTGGAGCTGAAGAAACCGTTAACCAAAGGGTTGCTGCCCTAATAAGAGAGATAGAGGGTGAGAAAGATTCAAGTTGAGATGCAAGCAGAGTTACGATCATATTGAGTTGGAAATCAGAAGAAAAATAAGTAAGAGCCTATACCTGAATCACAAGGTAGCGTGGACATAGACAATGATTAGCTGTTGTTACTTGTTTGAAGAACTAGTTGATGTATTTTGAACAAATGGATGTGAAAGAACTCGTTTTATGTTTTAAACATTGTTTTATGTTTTATTGTTGTTATTGTTTTGAACTTTACATATTTTATGTTTTGAACTATCAGAATATATATTAATTGTGGATATTAGTGTATTTCATATATTATGTTTTGAATTGCCTGAGTATATGATTAAAAGTATTTGTTTTGTGTTTTGAATTGTCTGTAGGTAATTGTCGAAATTTATTCATATAGAGGGGGGCTGTCAATATTTTTTTGCAATTGCTATAGGTTTCCGACGTACGGCTAAACCGCCGAAAACTTCAATACCAAATGAAGACAATTCGCCACTGTTTATTTAATTGTGCCGCTGGTAATAACCGGCAGCTATTTGACAATTTGGTCGCCAGAAACACCGGCGGTTTTAACTGCCGGTACGATCGCTGATAATGACTGGTTGTTTGCCGGCGGTATTGCATTAGAATATTCTGGCGGTTTACCTGCGATTTTGGATCTAGTAATTTCCGACTGTCATAGTCACCGGAAAACCGTCGTAATCCATTTTCTACGCGGTTTATACCGACGGTTTAAAAACCTCCGAAAAATTGATGTTAACCATCGGTAATGGACGATTTTCCTGTAGTGACATAGTGTAGCACGTGAGTTGACTCGAACTCGCATAATTAAATCTGGAGCTTGAAGTTGAACTTATTTAATTAATCAAGCTCAAGTTCAAGTGAGGGGTGGCTTGAATTGGGCTCGACTCATTTACACTAGTAGTTTGAGTTCTTTTGATTTCTTTTGCAAGCATTAAATGCCATTTAAATAGCTCATTCTTTGCTCCAAATAACTCATACATTGTTTATTTCCAGCAATTTGATCTTGACTGCCGCATTATAGGATCGAGCTAATGACTCGATATTGAAATGATTTTTATCAGCTTATTAAAATTGCGTCAGATACAGCTAGATGTAGTTTTAGAAATTTGATTATAGTTCATCGTGGCAAGTCAGCAAGCCAACAAATTTCAGAGTTCTTTTCGTGTTTGTTTTATTTTCTGTTAAGCTGTTGTCTCGTCCATCCTTTCGGAACTGTAAGTGAATGCATGATGAACAATCTACAAAGGTTGAACTGTCTATTAACTCGAGGATGATGAGAATCTGGCGATGGTCAGTAGTCAGGAAGAGTCAGGGGAGTATTCAGTAGAGGTCCGGCGGTGTTTCAGGATTTGTTGATAATTAGCAGACGGGCAGAAGTCCGACGATGTTCGATAGTCAGGAAGAGATCTGTTGGAAGTTGGTGGCAAGAGAGCTCCAAAATATTCTCCCTTCTCCTCCCCCTCTTATTTGAAGAATGAGGATAAGAATGATGAATATATTTATAGTCTTTTTATAGTAGCATGCCTATTAAATATGAGGAAGATCAATAGCATGTTGGGAGTGTTCCATCGGACGGCTCATAATGATTCCATTAATCATGGAGTGTTTATCTAAGATTTAAGTGCTTGTCAACTGATCGATTCAACTATAAGCATGTCATATTTGAATATCATTTGATCATCCAATTAATGATTTAAAGCTTCCAAATAGGCTTTGGTCTTTTGATTTGAATCCATTTGGGCTCAGATTGGATTGAATTTGGAGTTGTTGGGTTTGTCTTCTTGAGATGTTCAATTTAACTATAAACTTGCTGAAATCGGAGTTCTGATGTTCCTGATTTTAATTTTTAAAACTCCCGATTCACATTTGCATTGAAATTCGTGCCCAGACAAAACCATATATATATATATATATATATATATAATAATATAATATATATCTATCTATATATATATGATTTTACCAAGCATGCATTTTTTTAAAACCTTTGCTCAATTCTTCATTGTAGATTCAACTTCCACATGTTTTAGTCCAAAAGTAAGTACTTATGTCATGGAAAGTTTTTTGTAGTTTTCCTCTGAAAGAAAGAAATGGCTATTGAAACTTGAAGGGCTACATCATTAGCCTATTGAAACGCCTCTCAAATTATCTCCTCTCCTTTTTTTTGGGACATTTAGGCCATTTAAGGCAAACTCATACACACAGCTACACAAAGACTCGAACCCAAGACTCTTAGTTGGAAGCATAGTTCTAACCAACAGACCAAGATGAGCTGTGTACTCCTCTCCTTTAATTACAAGAAGGAAAAACAAAATAAAAAAGAAAGCTTTCATTGATATCATGTCATATGACTTTGCTTAAAACCTAAATTGATAGCTTATATTTCTTTTAAAGCATGTGATCAAATACTATTTATTAATAATTTTAATTATTAATTTGTCACTAAAAATATTACTATCAATCATACTCATAAAGAAATGAGTAGAAAATTAATTTGTATTCATATATATTTTTTTAAAATAATTTATAATTATATAAGTTAAAAGTCAAGCAGTGAAATAAAGCTTATACTGGTCTGTCATTGCTCCTTTTTAATCTCTTTTCATTACCAAACAAACTTTATTTCATGATGAAGAAAGGAGCAATCGATTACAAAGGACAGTGACCATTAAGGAGGATACAGTATGGGATCATGTGAATCTTATTTTTCTCTTAGATTTTTTTTTCTCTATGAGAGAATGAATTTAGATTTTTTGCTTTCAATTTTATTTAGATAGTTTGGGATAGCTTTTTTTTTTTAAATACTAATTATAATTTTATTTAACTGTTCCTTTTGTTAATTTCTTTTATATATATATATATATATATATAAAATATAATGAAAAACTGTTTTTTTTTCGACCTGATTAATTTTTTTATTGCTTTCTTGCACTAGAAAGTTGTTTAAAAAATGGTAAGAAAACTACTTCAATCGAAATATCAAATTATTTTCTCTACAGTAACTATAAAAAAAAACTTTTAAAAAAAATCTTTACAATTAGCCTTATAAAAATTTACAGTTGTCTCAAATATGCCCTTAATTTCAATGTTGCCACTCATTTTATTAAAAAGAATAGTTTTATGGTTTTACATTTGTCATAAAAATTTACATTAATAAAACTTAATAAAATTACTGTTAAGCCATTCTCACTTGAATTTTTGGCTATCTTTTGGGTTGATCAGCATTTCTCTTCAGTAAAGGTAGTGCTCTTTTAAGCTTTATGTGGTTTTTGCATGAATTGCTGTTCCCTCGTGATGCTTAGTGGGTCAGCCTTTATTATCGTTAATTTCAACAACAATCAATGAATCATGTTTGCATGCAGGGGCATTATTGTCCCAACATATTATGGAGCGAGTCGCCCTTTTACGTGCGGACTTCGAATATGTTCGGATCGAAGGTCAATCAAGAGCCACCACATCATACAATACACTGTGCATTAGATGACGTGATGACTCCTGATTAATATCCAGACATAGTTGGCGTTCGCGTGCGAATTAATTCTTTTCTTGATAGTGAGGGATGTAAGAGAAATGAATAGCTGATAATCTTTTATGTAAGGCTCATTATATTTATTTATTTATTAAGTAATTGAGTAAATTTGAATAAAATTTTAGAATTTGCTATATAATTAAATAAAATTTAAAAGTAATATGCTTTTCTTAATTTATAAATATTCACTAATATAATTATTTAGTGTTTAATAAATAGCTTTGAGTTCAATAAAATATTGATTTAATGGTGGCTATGGCTGCTTATTTTATTATATTGAATTAAAATATTTATATCATATTCAATTTAATAACTTTATATAGTAAAAATATGACAAATATCAAATAAATAATTGGATATTGATACACCACCAAAAAATCTTTCTTGATCATGCATGAATCTCAAGGCTTATTCAAGTTGGTAACTTCTAAAATTAAATTCAGAATCATTTTAACACAATTTCAGCAAACTTATAGTAAAACTAAACGACTCGAAGATAGTCAATAGATGAACCTAATAACAAGCAAAATCAATCCAATCCGAGTCCAAATGGGTTCAAATCGGGAGCCCGAAGCTTATTTAGAATGTTCAAAGTCTAATTGGATGACCAAATGATATCCAAAGATATCATGTTTATAGTCAAATCGTGTGGCTCCACAAGACAAATCCAATTAGCCCAATACAATTTAATTTTGACATCTTTTGACAAACACTCTATGATCGGGGTATCAATATGGGTTGTCCGATGGAGCACTTCAAATATGCCCCAGATCTTATCCATATTTACGAGATATGACACTCTCTAAAACTTATAAATAGACCCCCTCTTCCCACACTAAAGGGGGCTTGGAACTTGGACCTTTGGCTGGAGATTAGAGAGAGCTCTAAGGATTCAAGAGCTCTAGCACCATCATCGGCGAACTCCATCGACTATCGCCGCATTTCCACCCGACCATTGTCAGATTACCACCCAGTCGCCGACCACCACCGGACTTCCACCCGGCCTCCAACGATCACCGACCACCATCAGACTTCCACCTGTCCTCCAATAGCCATCGAACTTCCACCCGACCATCGTCGGACCACTGCTTCGCCGCCGACCGCCCTGGACTTCCACATATTAGTCGACTATCGTCGGACTTCTGCCCAACCATCGTCAAACCACCTCCCGACCGCCGAGTAATAAATGTAAATAATGTGCTACTTTGTTAGTTAAATGCGTGTTTTAGTTGTGTTTGTGCAAGAAAATACAAGAAATGAGCAAATTTTAAGTATGTTACAACGTCACGACAATGAACACTATACCGCCGCGACGCCATCATTGATATCGTTGGAGCGCTCAAATATGGACATGGTAGCGCCCATTCTCTGTTTAACATCACCACATCGTTGGAGGAGTCAACGCCAACATGGTTTTTACCTTTTGTAGGGTTTTCATGTAAAAATCTTCCCCCCATGAAAGAGCCTCTCATTTGTAATCAACAATAAACACTAGTATAACCATTTTAATAAGGCCATACCCCATGTTTTTTTTTTCTCTTTTCAGGATTTTCCATGTAAAAATCTTGATGTCTCTTATGACTCTCATATCTTTCTTTTTTATTTGTCGATATGCTAGAACTTCGTATAAAACTTGGATGCTAAAATACATGTCTCTACCGCCGCAAATACTCCAATCTGCAATATGTACATAAATTATTAGCATGAAATATATTAATTTTTTACACTGCTGTTGCCACTATGAGCCTATGTTGTTTCTAGCTCCTATATTTGATCTCATTTGCTTCTATTGAAGTTGAGCAAGATTCATGATCATGCAATTACATGCTCCATGTGATTGCGAGGGCAAGCTCTTATTTGCTCTTACACAAAAAAATAAATTTTAGAAAATAAATATTTTATTTTCATTTATTTTGTACATTAAATATTATCATAGTTGTCGCAGTTTTGGGAAATTTTATAAAATTAAATAAATCTTATTTTCTGATTAAATGAATTTATAAAATTTTATTATTTTTATTATTATTGAAATCAAAGCTTCTGATGGAGATGATGCAATAGGGAAGCTGACAATAAAAGAATGAAGTGTTGTTGGTCAAAGAAACTAAGTTAGGTTTTATTTGGTGATACTTTTTAGCTACTTTGTTTCTTTGTTTTGATATAAAATATCATAATTTTAATTCATATAGAAAATATTAGACAAAAATATTTGTGTCATACACCGACGTGGAACTCATATGTGGTCAAATTTTTTTTATTTGGAAATATTTAGGTCAATTAAGATAAACTCACACACACATCATAAATGCAGTACTCGAATCTACGACTTCTTGATTGGTAGCCAAAGCTCCCAACCAACTGACCAAGATGAGCTGCAAGTGACCAAAATAGAATTGGGGACGCGCAAAACTTTAAAAAGTAAAAAAAAAAAATCTTAGAATTTTGAGCAAATATAATTGCCCACTATGAGCTCTTCTCATATCCACTCTTAATCATACAAGTTTTTTTTTAGTTTAGGGTTTAAATTCATTTTTGTGATCAAACCAACACAAGATAAGCTGTTAATTATCAGTTTAAATCCATATTGTGATCATAATTTTCTTTTCACAAAAAAATTGATCAACTAGAATCTGAGCTGTTTGCTACAGTCCATCTAGACAGAAGTACTGTAACCATTAAAGCAAGCAAATGCTTAGAAACTTCAAAACGTTCAAGAAATATACGTTACAAATACATCAAGCATGTAAGATTTTCCCATCTGCTGTAACAGTACATAATAGGAAGCAGTACTAAATTTACTAATGCTTTAAAACACACAATCTAAGAAAGGATAAGAACTCAAGCAGAGAAACCTGAAATCAGAAATATGCACATATTAGGATTCGTTTGGGACAACGTTTTAATTACTTCTTCATGAAGCAAGCAGCTTTCTATTACAAAAATTAAATTTTTATATTAAAAAGCTGCTTTGAGAAGCAAAAAAAAGTCGTCCCAAACGAAGCCTTAGCTTTGAAGAGTGCAGCTGTGGGATCTGTTCATGTCTTCGATATGAGACTGGAGTGTCTGATTCTCTTGACGGAGAAAGATTGCTATCTCTCTAAGCCTCTTGTTCTCCTCCATGATACAATTGTTCTTCAAATACAACCTGATGTTCACTATCTTCATATGTTCTTGCCAGCCATGGCTTCTTTTCTTCAACCTGAAGAATGAACTATCTCATTACTTACTGAAAATTCGAAGAACTATGAGGATTTACTTCAGTGAAATACTATGAGCCTTACCTTGCACTTCTGCCATTACCTGATCTCACTCTTGACTTCAAACAAGCAGCTTTTGCCTTCTTAAGAAATCTGCTTCGGGGAATTGTAGATGACCAACTATTCGAGGAGAAGAACCTGGATGAACACATTATTCTGCTTGTAGCTAGATCTTCGCGTCCAGTAGTTGAAGGAAAATAGTAGGCAGGACAAAGAGGAGCATGCAAGTCATTGGTTTTTTATAGAAGAAAACTGATACTTCTATAAGGGAATGTTCTAAATAAATTCGACTGAAATATGATATGTGCCTTGAGATTAATCATTCAATGCTCCTTGAGATTAGTGTTTTTTGCAAGATTTTATATTACTGTACTAATATTAAGATACATCCCTTAGAAAAGAGATGTACTTATTTGAAATAATGGGTCAGAGTAATGATGAGTTTCTCTATCTCAGTAAACAGTTAGATTGTCTCCTAATCCTCCAAGTCTTCGAGGAATGATGGGCTTAGCTAGCTTAGGAGAGGGGAAAGAGCGAATGTGGATGCCAAATAATAAATTAAGGTTTTGTTTGGGACAGTTTTTTTACTACTTTCTAAAGCAATTTTTTAGTACAAAATTTAAAATTTTTGTACTATAAAGCTGTCTTATGGAGCAATAAGAAAGTCGTCCCAAACGAAGTCTAAGTGTTGTTGAAATAAATATAGTATTCATGATGGCCTGTTGCTTAATGTTCTCAGCTATTTTGTCTGCAATAATGTTAGTAGATGTATGAATGATGACCTTGTTTGAAAATAACTGTGTTGCGTAACATGATGCCAAGATTATGAACTCAAGAAGTCTTAGGTTAAGAAGTAATCAAATCATTATATTTTATTGTAATATTTTCTAGCTATTTTCTGTAATGTTTAGCTATATTTTGTGAAATTTTCAAATCAAATTGGGCTCTCACTGAAATATGAACTCAAGAAGAGCTCATCAACATATTGAATTCTTATTGGAACAATGGCAGCAGATCGGTAGAGCGTAATAAGAAGCATGTAACAAAGGGTAGATATTCATTTTAGTGATTTTTTTTTTCTTATCATTTTTAATATAGGAAATTTGAGAAGAAAACCAACAAAATCAATATAATGTGTAATATGTTTTCATATAAAATTAAAAAAATGATGATTCATAGATCACAAACTACTAATTAATTCAACTACTTAGTCATAAATTTAATAGGCTTATTTGTTAGGGAACGGTGTGTGAGAAGAGCGGCTGAGCTCCAAGAAGAAGAAGAACATAAGCGGAACAGAGAGAGGAAAAGGAAAAATAATGTATCATTACCTTGAAGGACAAATACAAAGTTTATACATAGAGTTAAACTGGGTAAAGCTGTAAATACAATAATAGAGAGAGACTCGTTTCCTAACAGCCTCCCTCAAATTAAGCATTCATCGGATGAATGGTTAATTTGTTACGAAGGTCGCGCGTTGAAACGAGCAGTGGTAAATGGTTTTGTTAGAATATCTGCAATTTGATCCTTTGAAGGAATGTATGTGAGAGATATGTCGTCATTGGCAATGTGTTGTCTGATGAACTGATAGTCTATCTCGATGTGTTTAGTTCTTGCATGAAAGACCGGATTCTTCGCAATTGCAAGGGCCGAGATGTTGTCACAATGTATGACGGTTGGAGACTTTTGTTCAAGATGAAGTTTAGCAACTAAGCGGTGAAGCCATATGACATCCGAGGTGGCTGCAGACAAGGATCGGTATTCAACTTTTGTTGAAGATTTTGCAACCGTTATCTGCTTCTTGACATACCAGGAGATGAGATTGGGGCCCAAAAATATGCAAAACCCAGATATAGATGTGCAGTCTATAGTGTCTGAAGCCCAGTCCCCATTCGTGTAGGTAGTGAGATTCAGGTCACCAACCATGATTGGTAGACCATAGAACGACATGCCTTTGACATAGCGTAGTAATTGTTTTAAAGCTTGAAAATCTTGCTCGGTGGGATGATGCATACGTTGAAAGACAAGGTTGGTGGCAAAGGCAATGTCCGGCCGCAGTATAGACAGGTATTGGAGGGATCCCGCAAGGCGACGGTAGAGAGTAGGGTCTTGAAATGGCTGAAGATTGTTGTATTTGTGTTTGGATTTTGCAGTGACGGGTGTTGGCGCGGGTTTGGAGTCATCGAAGCCGGCATCGTGTAGAATTTTCTTGGCATAGTGTTGTTGCGTAAGGAAGTAGCCGGAGGTGTTTCGAAGAACTTGAATTCCGAGGAATAGAGAGATTTGTCCAAGTTGATTGAGAGCAAATTGAGAGTTGAGGAGCTTGAGTAGAGACTGGATTGCAGATTGGCCATTCACTGTGATAAGTATATCATACACGTAAATTAAGACTTAATTAAATGTTTGATTATGATTAAGTAAAAGGAGAGATGGGTCGGAACGACTAAACTTGAATCCTTGTGCTAGTAGAAAATTGGTAAATTTATGGAACCATTGTCGGGGTGCCAGCTTGAGCCCATCTATAGAGAGATTTTAGAAGTTTGCAGACTGCATTCGGAAGGTTCGGATCTACAAAGCCGGGCGGTTGGTGCATGTAGATGTCGTCCGGAAGATCACCGTGTAAGAATGCATTGGAGACATCCAGTTGAAGCATGGGCCAATTCCGATGAAGAGAAGGCATATTTGCAAGAACTTGAAATAATACATCAATTGAGCTGTCCTCACACCCGAGAACAAAATGGACTATCCGAGCACAAGCACGGGCACCTACTTAACCTTACTAGCACACTTCTACATGCCTCCAACCTCCCAAATTATTGTTGGGCCGAAGCTCTTTCAACTGCCAATTACCTCATCAACCGTCTTCCCTCTAAATCCACCTCCTTTTAATCACAATACCAATGTCTCCACGGTTCTTTGCCCACATACCCTCATCTTCGCACCTTCGGGTGTCTCTACTTCCCTTGATTGCAACCTTATACTTTAAACAAATTATCTCCCCGCTCTCAAGAATGCATCTTTCTTGGCTATTCAAGCCTTCATCATAAAGGATATAAATGTTTTCACAAAAAATCAGGAAAAATTTATATCTCACGGCATGTTGTGTTCTACGAGAGCACATTTCCTTACAGCTCTGATACCATGTGAGAAGAGCGGCTGAGCTCCAAGAAGAAGAAGAACAGAAGCGGAACATAGAGAGGAAAAGGAAAAAAATAATGTCTCCTTACTTGAAGAACAAATACAAAGTCTAGAGTAAAACATGGTAAAGCTGTAAATACAATAATAGAGAGAGACTCATTTCCTAATACGATGAACTAAACACAAAGAGAAACAATAAATTACTATTTGCAAAACACAAACGAACACAAGAGACTTACGTGAAAAGCCCAAATCTATGAAAAACCACGAAGAAGGGAGAACAGCTTCACTATAGAGAAGAGACGGAGTACAAAAGGGGTTACAAACCCTAAGCTATTTACACCATATTTATAGGGTAAATATGACAAAAGTTAAATGCTTTAACTTAAAATTTTCTAATTATAAGATCATTTATATTAAAAAATTTACATATATCATTTTCTTAAATATCACTGCTAAAGATTTTGAATTATATGCATCCAATCAAAATTAAAATACAAATGAATTGATTTGATCGTTGTGATTGAGATCCAATAATAAATTATATGAAAGAAATAGATAATAACTAATTCAATTAGGTCAAAATAAAAAAGATTAAGCTAATTAATAATAAATTATATAGACTATATAGATCAAAAATAGAAAGAAATCACAAGGAAAGAAAAAACCAAGCCTGAATTTTCATTAATCTCAAATTCGGTAAAGCAAAGGCAAAATGATAATAATAATAATAATAATAATAATAAAACTTAGATAAAAGAAAGGAACCAGAGATTTCCAGAGCATGCATGCTACACACATTATTATGTGCAGTCACCGGATGTAATCCGGAGGTGAATTAGGACCCGTCATGTCATTTTTTTGTTGTATTGGTGCTACGTACCGGTGTGCACCAGATAACGTCATGCATTCTGATTCACCTCGAGACCATCCGATGACCTCACAGAACAATTTTTCCTGCATGCTACCCACAAAAGTAGCTCCACCACGTTCAATCAGCCAAAGTTAAGGTCAATATCATCACTTATTAAACGATAGAAATCACGCAATATCAAAACCACAAGCAAGGAATTGCCACAGAAACTAAGTCACATCCCAACACAGCTGTATTTTATTTTATTTATCTATTTATTTTTTATAATTACTGAAATAAATTAAGGAACAAACAGCTAAAACATAATAAATAAATGTAAAGATTTTCACAAGAGAAAGAATGCTGGAAATTTAAGCAAATGAGAAAAAAAAAAGTTTACAAACAATATCAGATCAATAATTATTTAGATTCATAATTACAAATTATTTTGGGATTTCATTTCTTCTCAGTCTCTTTCTTTCAATCCAAACTAAATCAGAAAGTTTATTTTTTTTCCTGTGAAACAATCATCGATCTGGAGGCCCAAATTCACTGAATTCCTTGCTGATATGATGAAAATATTCCTCAGTATCACAGTAGAAGTCCTCAACGTCACTTTAAGGATTCCAACATGCAATGATGAGACATCAATATCATTTTAAGCAACTCCTTTATATCACAGAAAACAGTATGATTTGCTATGATTTCAAAGGTACTGTTGCTATGATTTGCTGCAATTTTTATTTTTATTTTTAAATTTTTGACATCGAGTGAATTTACTAAAGTCAAAGCTTTCAATCACATAATTTAAGTGGGCTGAATCCGCAAATTTATCCCACCGGGTTTTGCTGGGTTGGTGGGCGAGCATGATTGGGAACCCCCCAACCCATGTTCGATTCCCTTCTCATACGGCACGACCCTTTAAGTGGGGAGAAAATAACTGTAGGTTCATCACCTATGGGGCTGGTTGTTGGTAGGCTCGTCGTGAGATTATTTAAGCAGTCAAGTGCCTTCTATGAGAGGTGACAGCATGTAGACATCCTCGTTCCCAAAAAAAAAATCCGCAAATTCCAATTAGCGCGGTGGTTAGAAGGTCCACCATGACAGTCTCTGCATGTAGACTTTAATATAATGCATGGGCATGTCAGCATTCTCCAGCTTCAAGATAATTTTTATGTAATTGTGTGCTTTGATAACTTTAGGGTTTAGGGTTTTGCTGACAAGATAAACAAGAAAGAAAGCATCAAATACTTTCAGAAAATAAACAAGGAAACTTTTCAAGTGTTGACACAAACATCATAAGAAGATCCATGCATTAACCCTTAAGATCTTCGCGCATGGATGGTATGCTCTTTACATGAGGAGAGGGGGAGTTCAACGACGACTCTTATGCTTTCTCATATGTTGGGGATGAGATAAAGATTAATAATAACATAGAGGAAGTTAAAGAGCTAATTCTTATATTGAAATATGCACTTTGGTGGGCTCTTGAGAGAGTGTAATGTTAAAGTTATGAAGGAAAATTTTACACTCAATGAAAAAATATTTATAATATGTGAATGAAAACTCTCATTTATTATAAATAATTGATTAAGATTTGTAAATATATCATTGAATTATTATTGTGGGCTATGAGAGCTTCTATTAACTTGTGAAAATTTATAATTTTTGGAGAGATCTTATAATGAACTATAGGTTGACTTATTAAATAGAGCCTATGGAGGATGAGCATTGCATCTCATAAAAATGAAGAAAAATGAAGAAAAATGAAGAAAAGAGAGCAATTGAGAAGAGATTTTCTCCATTGACAAAGAGAAGATGGAAAGGGTGTTCTCGGGCACCTTCCATTCAGCGACATAGCAATAGAAACCAAACATCTATCTTTTCCAAGAAGACAAATAAGTTTATAACAATCTTCTTCTTTGATTCATTTACTCAGTTCATCCTCACTCCAATATGTATCCCCTATAATAGGAGAATATGCTCTCACTACAGGAAAATCACCCATTACCGGCGGTCTTGTCCGGCGGCTTTCCGGCGACCACTTTTCCGGCGGCTTTTCGTCACTTTTCCGGCGGTGTTTTACCACGGAATTTTCCGGCGGATTTTTGACATAAAAAATAAAAGATATATGGTATCATCTTCATTAAACACAACAAAAGAAATCTTTTTTATAAAATAATAACTCTAAACCATCATTATTTATGAAGATAAATCCCTAGTAATCTAGTATATTTTGTTGAACTTAGTGAAATTATTTGATTTCTATGTGATTTGTAAACATACATGTTGACCTCCACTCAAAAAAAAAAAAAGTGAAAATACCTCCGCTACATGCTCGATCATGCTCAAATCCCGCCGTCTACTACAATGCCCCATCTCAGAGTCTTGCAAACGGCACCGAATGCAATTGCCCCTCCCTGCGTACAAAAACCCTGTTCTAAATCATGCCTTGCTTCACGTTGATAAAGCGAGAACCGAACGAAGCTCTGGATTCATTTTCTTCTGAGGTTCGTAGCCACTTTCGAGAAATAAGAGATCGAATAAGAGAAGATTTATGTAATGCCATCTTCAAGGAGAATCGATGAGTAGTTTTCTTTGTTGAAATTTTATGGTGATAGAATATGTTTAATGTCTTTGGACAAAATTTTAGGACAAAAAAAAAAGTATAAGAGATCAAAATGTTTATATAAAAAACTTAAGAATGGAAAAACTCACAAAGCCTAATCTCGTTAAGAAGGACATTTTGATAAATTTGACTAGATTGCAAAACACTCTATTATACATTTCATATTGATTTTTTTGATCATTTACCATTTATCAAAAATTCGAATGCCTTAATAATATCATAATAAAATGATTTTAGGCTCGTTAGATTCATCTCGTTCAGCCTCTCGATTAGACTATAAGTGCACTATAATTGAAAATCATTTGATTTTTTAATTCATGCTTAGAAGTTTTCAAATATTATTCATGTACTTGATTTGAAAATCCACAATAATTTCTTTTGATAAATTTTCATCTACTTTATTTTTATAGATTACAAATCTCTTTTATAAATGGAGTGAAAGAAACGACATAAAATCCCACCAATTTGTTTGCTGAGTATGGATCTGTAGCCATTGATTTTTGCATTTAAATTATTATTTTTCTCTTTTTTCTTTCTCTCAAATTCTCATCATTCGAACATAGCCACAATGAATGTGTTTTCAAAGTTTTTTTAAAAAATTGAATTACATATTTATTTCTTCCATCTTAAAAATCATAAGAATATTCCATCACAGGACCTTTGATGGATTTCTGCTGGAGTTCGCCTGCATAGACCAAGTGCTCATTCAGCAAACTAGAAGCTGAGCTCATTAGTTATCTTGGATGCTAATCATGCTATAGAGCATCGTGATTTCAACTTTAATAAAAAAAATTACGAGATTTTACAGACTTAAATCACTCTTAAAGAAGATTTAGATTTTGTTTAGGACGACTTAAAAATCAATTAAAAAGCTGTCGCAAATGAAACTTTATTTAACACTTAACTTGTAGTTCATAACCCCATAACATGAAAAAGCATATCATAGCTTCTAGATGAATATTAAACTTCTCTCACCAAGTTCAAGCCTCCCTAAAATAATGGGTTTTTGCTGAAGGGTTGTAAAGTCGAGTTTAAGCCACTTATCGAACTCGTCCCACTGTAAACGAGTTCAAGCCGGCTCACGAGCCATGGATAGAAATTTTAAAATTTAGACGATAATTTTAAATCTTAGTCAAAATTTAGAGAAAAAAAAAAGATGAAATGTTTAATGTTTAAATAAAACTTAGGTGTGTTTTATTTTTTTTATTTAAATTTAATAAATGAAATAAATTATTTAAAAATATAATATTTATTTGAGCTGGCTCACGAGCCCACAAACGAGCCGAGCTCGAGCCGGCTCTCGGCTCACTTACACCTCTATTGCTGATCTATGTATATTTTTAGGAGGGTAGAATCTTTTTATCCTGCACATCTTATCGATAAATGCGTAAACATAGAAGACAACTGAAGCAGATTTAAGCTTCTATTTTCAATTCTGATAACAAAAAAAATAAAAATAAAAAAACAACAAAATCATTATTATTGTTTCCAATACCAACCTTTTCATATATATATACACACTTCTCATATTTTATCTCTAAATAAAAAGTCACTTAGTCGCCTAAGCATCTTCATCTCTGCAATATTAAAAAATACTTGGTCAAACCACCTTATTCATATAAATCAAATACAAAATAAAAACTCGATTAGGTATACATATTCTTAATGACGACTATAAACACTATTAACTCTTTTTTTTTTAGAACTCGATCTCTCATATCCTTTATCTAAATCAATAAGCATCATATATATATCCTCCTTACTCTCTCTATACTTAATCAAATCTCTCAACAAATATATAACTTCTATAAATTATAATAGACCTATCCAGCATGAATCAAAATTGATTATAAGAAACATTAGTATCACATCATAACTTATACTTGATTACTGATGCCATATTTAATTATTCAAACTGAATCCCAATCTTAACTTGTAAATAATCAAATAAGTCATATAAAATGCATGATGGTTCAAGTTTCTATCCTTCTAAAAATAGTAGTGCGTGTGTTGTATGTATAAAGAGAGAGCCAGAGAGGCGTATTCAATCAATCGAAAGATAAATGTCATTTATCGATTAACTAATTATGATAGGGGTGTCAATTTTGGGTTACGGGTCGGGTTTGAGTCGAACTTGAAATTGACTCTGCACTATTCGAGCCAACAATAAAGAGCTCCTGCAAAAAGACTTTTCTCTGTAGATGAATAATTAATCATGAGACTTGCACCTGAGAAACTTAAATCTAGAAAAATTAAACTGTAGAAAAATATTAAGCGGCAAGCTCTCACCCATAAAGTTAAGCTTTTGAGTTAAAATCGGATATGATCATTAGTGTATTAAGACCAACTTTGATTCTCCTTTGCTTTACACTCCCTAACATAATCTACTATGTAGTGATCATAATTTTATGGGAGTCAAATAGTTATTTAATAACTTACCACATTAGCAATTGCTTTGAAATGTTTCAAAATTTAAGTAGTTAATTAAAAAAAAACAAAAAAACAAAACATGAAATATAGGTACAGGCCTCCATCAGCCAGCAAGAGGATTTGCATGTATGGTCACCCGGTTCAGTCTAATCTCAGCAAGTGGTCGATCCCCTGGCCCTGTCTGTGTCTGCAAAAGGACAAGATGAACATCGAAAAGGTCATTTTTTTTCAGGGGAAATTATTACTTGCGAAATTCGGACGGTTTTGTTGTGTATTTATTGAATAATTACTGCATATTTGCAAATACTAAGTGAATACTCAGCAAATACTCAATTGTGAGTATTCATTGAGAAATTTGTAGTATTTATTGATTGACTGCGTATTTACTTTGTATTTATAAATACTTAGCAAATACACAACAATCTGGACAGTTCTTTTCGTCCAGACTCTGCATAGAATAATCTCTCTTTTTGAGCTCAGTATTTACTGAGTATTTATAAATTTCAGATTGCAATTGCAAGAACCAGCTGAAATTATATTAGCGTGGGGGTAATAAAGCCTTTACCTTCTCCATAATGTCAAGAACTTCAAAACCATGGATTACTTTCCCAAAGATAGTGTAAAGCCCATTCAGATGAGGTTGCTTTGCATAGGTGATGAAAAACTGACTTCCATTGGTATTTGGTCCACTATTTGCCATTGATAGTATTCCCCGGGCGTTGTGCTAGAGATCAAATGAATATTACTTCAATCAAATTTTCCTGTACTGTTGGACGATATATGCATGTTCAAACTTCTCCCTACCAAATTGAAAAAAATAGTATAGGAAACAATTAGGACTATAAGGTACCTTAAGTGACTCACGTATCTCATCGTTGAACTTTTTCCCCCAAATGCTTGTCCCTCCCTTGCCTGTGCCTGTAGGATCTCCACCCTGGATCATGAAGCCTTTTATGTTTCGATGAAATATGGTTCCGTCGTAATAATCACTAGCACAGAGTGCCAAGAAGTTCTGAAACACGATTGAACAAGAGCAGACTTTTTCAATATCCATCCAAGGCTGAATATTTTCAAGTTCATAAATGGCTGACTTCTAGCAACAAACATGTACACAACATTTCTTCATATTGGCTAAGTTCAAAGCATTAAGAAGGATGCAACAAAAATATCTCACAGATCAAGCCCCATTTTCCACCATTGAGAAGAATCAAGCTGCATGTCGTTCCTTTTTCGTTTGCTTTTTTTTTTTTTCTTTTTTAAATGTAATAAAACACATCTCTATAAGATCATCCACTCGAGTAGGTTACAGTCATCTATTGCATTTATAGGATTTAAATTCTTAAATTGACGAGACAAGTGTTTTTGAGATACTAAGAAAACACACGTACAAGACAAGTCTACGAAAACATTAAAAAAAAAAAAACATAAAATTAAGCAGTGATGATAGAAACAATATCTGTGTAGCAATGCTAGATAACCAACAAAGAAATAAGAGTAAGCGAAATGTACAGTCACAGTAATAACTTTTATCTGTTACAAGTAATCCTATCTATACTTAACAGTCAGTTTTATCAACACCAAGGATACTATAATCAATTAAAAGGATATCCCAACAAGAAAGACTCGATCACAGATGATGCGTTCTCTTTGAAATCCAGCTCTCTAGAAAGACCATTGGAATTAGTCAAGTGTACCATCTGTTGGCTTACCGCCTAGATTTGGTGGTTCAAGAACTGCTTAGGAAAATATTAAGCTACATGGTAATGAGATTAGTAAACATTATCAGATTTTTAACTCCACCAATAAGACTTAAGGAAAGTGTTGGTGGGAACAAAGTGGTGAGACGAAATGGATAAAGCCTTACTGAGGGATCTAAATTGATTGATTTTTTTTATTTGCATTTGTAAGGACAAAGAATTGTAAGGGAATACACTAAGGTAAGCCAGCTGCGTGACAATTGCCCCAAGCCATCCTATGATCCTTATATAGAGACCTTTTTTACAAATAAACAAATAAGGCCCGTATAATTTACAGGACCAAATTCCACAACCATGGAAAAAAAACTTTGTATAGACAAGCAATCAGATAGGCAATTACTTAAAGATGATATAACCACCCAACTCTTGAGGCATTAGGAGCCACCTTGGGCATTCATCCGAGATAAGTGAAGTGCTAAAAAGATATGGCTATACCACTTGTAAACTAAATTAAATTATAAGAATATTTTTATGAGTATAAAGAGATTATCATCACATTAAACTATGCTAGGCATGAATAATGAATTTTCAAGTGTTGGTTTGCAATTAAGTTTGAAAATCTAAGTTTGAAAATCTTGCTAAATATATTAACTAAAAAAAGCTAAAATACTAAAGTTTGTGGCATGTCTAACCTGAAGGTATATAATCTTTGCTACTATATTTCTAGCTTTGTTATCATCCATGTTCTTTTCTATCACTAGGTTTGTCGCCTATGTTGCACTGATACAACTATTTATGAAAGCGTGTTGTATCCGATACACCGATACACGGATACGCCTCCAATACGGCACCGATATGTGTCGGATACGGCTTTCCAATTAAAATATCATTTAATTTCAAAAGGACACGCGTATCCGATACGCATGTCCGTTGAAAAACAAAAAAAAAAATCCAAAAAAAGACGTATTTAATTCCGTGGCTGCAAGCGAGGTTCTCTCATTTCCTAGATGGATTTGAGTCTCTTGATGATATGAGAATATTAGAAATTGCTAATCTTTCACTTGATGAGCTTGAATTAGAAGCTATAATATTTATTAAAAATGATATAGAAGTCCAAAGACAAACCACTGAAGAAGCTAATCATATCAGTCTTGTTGAATAGTTGAAACTTTATGTGCTAGACAATTTAATGTTTATGTTTTTGTTGTTGTACTAGACATTTAATGCTTACTTTTATTTTGACATTATAAGCTACAAAGCTACAAATGATGTTACTTTTTTTTTGGTAATTTCAAATATAATGCCTTGATTGCTTTCTTAATTTTTTATGTATTATTTATAAATTATAATGTCGTGTCCGCGCCGTACCGTAACCTATATTTTTAAGAATTGACGTGTCCCGTATCTATATTGTGTCATATCCGTGTCGCCGTATCCGTATCGATGAAACATAGTTTGTCGCCCTCTATCTCTTCCCATCTCCTCCAACCAATGTTTAAAATTGCGTATTGGGTATTGAGGCGTTTTTCATTCGTGAAGCGAGGCGTAAGCCTCAAGGCGTTTTGAGGCGTAAGCCTCAAAATCAAAAGATTGCGTAAACATAAAATGATAAACTATTTATATACTACTGAGTGAATAATATAAAACATAAAAAAACATAAGATATGAAGTGAAATAAAAATATCTCAATAATAAGACAACATGAAATATAGTTCAACTCAAAATTCTATCTTTCTCAAATCCCAATATTCTTTTCATTAACATATAATTCCAAATTCCAAAAACAAATAGCAATGACATATCACATAAGAACTCATAAGTCATCAACACTGTCATCACTAAGGGGTTCTTCATTTGAATCATCATTATGACGAACTGCTCTCTCCCCTTCCTCCTCTCCTATAAAGTCCAATGTCAGACATTTACTTCAAGATTTATGTAAGTTTTAATATATATAGCGTGAGGTGTAAACCTCATGCCAGTGAGGCGAGGCGGGCCTCAACCAAGTTGAGGCGCAAGCCTCATAAAAAAAACTCGAGGCGTTTTTTACTGGATTGCGCAAAGGCGGGCCTCAAGGCGAGCCTCATATTGCGCAATTTTAAACCATGCTTCCAACTCATGTTCTTGCTCAAAATTTATAATTCTAGAACTTGAAGCTCTTGCATAAAAAAAATGATCTAACATTTTTGTTGATGTTGGTGTGCATTATTAATTCTCAAACTCTTGATGCTTTTTCATGTCACCTCATGAGAATAAAAATCATTAAAAATTATCTCACATTCATTGTTAGAGGTATTTGAACACTTTTCTACAACTACGACGCTAACCTCAATGTCTAGAGCCTTAAAACAAGATGCTCACTTAGGCATACCTTAGAAATGGCGCATGTACGAGAAGAATGTGAGGTGTTATGGCCTCATTATCTTGTCCAAGTGCATAGGCAAGCGTCTGATCACCTTTAATAATACTAGAATAAAGATGAGTATCAAAATGCACTAAGCCTTATGAAATATTTAGATTGATTTTTTTTTCTTGGCACTTGCATGTACAAACTAGTGTAAAGTTAATCAAAGCTAAGCAAAGTGTTAGGAAAAGTTTGCACTTTAGCAATAATAGACACAATCAAACCAAGTAGATAGTAAAATAGACAAAGATCTCAAAAACAAGAAATGAGAAGATTTATATGATTCAATGCCATCCACCTATCTCAATAGCCTCAACAAGAGATAAATGGTCGCTAATCTAGAAACAATTATAAGATATAATATTTTAAAACCCAAATATTTAATCTTTTACTTCACTTGATTTTTCTCTAATCTTCTCTACCTCTCTTTTCCTTTCTCAAATAGTTTTCTTCTTTTTCTTCAACATCCAAACCTTTAGATGTAATATATAATATAATATTTTTTCAAATTGCCCAAGTAGTCCACCGCCTCATGTTGCAGCCAAACCAGCAACCTCAATGACCTTCCTGTTGTTGAGCTCTTTTCAATCCTAACCAACACAACCAAAAAACACATGGAGCACCTCTGTCATCCACCTTCCTTGGTATATACTTCTCATTGATCAAACCAAAGAAGAGATTAAGCTCTTGGGACTTGATCAAACACCGCCCAGGTGTGAAACACTGAAACCATGAACTTGATGTGCTTCTTGCTGCTAGAAAGAACCTATGATTTGATGCCTTGCAACCTCCTATTGAATCGGACAACAAACTTGTTTGTTTATAATCATTTGAGGAGGTTCAAGGTGACAGATTTTAGGAAGCTCAATAATTATAGAGAATAAACTTATATGAAAAGATTTAAAAGTTTCAGATTTTATAACAGGTAATAGGAAATAACTTAGGAGAAAATTGAAAAAACTTAATGAGGAAATTATTCTTAATCTAATAGTAGTTGGGTGATGACGTTGTATTACACATCAGCCTATCGATGGCAATGCCAGCCTTTCTATAATTCTTGTCCTATGTCATGTAGTTTCTTGATTAAAAATTTTTGATTAATTTGCAACGCCGACCCCACGTAGTGGGATAAAGGCTTGATGTTGTTGTTGTACCTTGCAACGCCGTCCTTTCCTGTGGAAGCTCCCCACTTGACAAAAGCCTTTTTTTTTTTACAAAAGCTTTGTCATGTTATACTGCCAAAAATCCCACCACTTGATTTCACATTGGATCCCACTAGTTCAGTGTTTCCTTCCATTTAGAAGGTGATGTCATTGCTTCCTAGTGCAATTACCATAAGATCCTTGGTCACCTTCTAAGAATTATTGCGGAAGGATAAGACATAAACTTCATCACCCAATTGCCAGATAAAAATCAAGTTCTTTAAGCCAGGACTATGACTTGCATCATAAAGCTTCCGCATAGTATCATCACCCGCCTTTACTGGACATTACTAACTCCCACAACATCCAAGAGTTCACTTTTAGCAAGAGTAACATTTTCACAATCTCATACATGATATTTAATCATAAACTCGTTATATAGAATAGAATAGAAAATCAAACTTGAGACCAAGATTCAGAATCTTTCAAACTATCCACATAAAGAATCAGTTCATCATAGAACTTCTCTAATACAATATTCAAAGGGTACTCAAACAGTCCAACTATTTTGAATTTTATCCACCATTTCCTTGTGGATAGTCATTGTTCATGTTACCAGTCATACCATATCATTAGAATGCAGTGTCTATGTTGAAATTTGTGGGCTCCGAAAATTCCATATGTGCGAGCCCCGGCCTCTCCGCGCCATCGGTTTATTTTTTTTTTTAAGTGTGACGATGGCTGCAGAAAGTTTTAACAAGATTAGGCTCCGGTTGAATTTTCATAAGGCAGATTAGGTTTTTAGATAAGACACTACCCAGAGATT